CTGATGGAGGGGAATTGGGGGGAAGGATGCTGATGGAGGGGAATTGGGGGGAAGGATGCTGATGGAGGGGCGTTGGGGGGAAGGATGCTGAAGGAGGGCGTTGGGGGGAAGGATGCTGATGGAGGGGAATTGGGGGGAAGGATGCTGATGGAGGGGCGTTGGGGGGGAGGATGCTGATGGAGGGCGCTGGGGGGGAGGATGCTGATGGAGGGGAATTGGGGGGAAGGATGCTGATGGAGGGGAATTGGGGGGAAGGATGCTGATGGAGGGCATTGGGGGGAGGGATGCTGATGGAGGGGAATTGGGGGGAAGGATGCTGATGGAGGGGAGTTGGGGGGAAGGATGCTGAAGGAGGGCGTTGGGGGGAAGGATGCTGATGGAGGGGAATTGGGGGGAAGGATGCTGATGGAGGGGAATTGGGGGGAAGGATGCTGATGGAGGGGAATTGGGGGGGAAGGATGCTGATGGAGGGGAATTGGGGGGAAGGATGCTGATGGAGGGGCGTTGCGGGGAAGGATGCTGATGGAGGGGAATTGGGGGGAAGGATGCTGAAGGAGGGCGTTGGGGGGAAGGATGCTGATGGAGGGGAATTGGGGGGAAGGATGCTGATGGAGGGGTTTTGGGGCCACGGCAGGGCCTCCAGGCTGGTGAGGGGCCTGTGGGGGATGGAAGGGATGACAAAGCTGCTCAGGGTGAGCAGCTCCAACTGGAGCCGGATCGATGGGGGCTGTGAGGAGCTGAAATTAGATTGAACGCTGGGAAGGAAGGGGGAGGGTGGACGGAGCCTCTTTTTGCTGTGATGGATAAAATGTGAAGTGTTTTCACAACTCCGTTTCCCCCAGGTCCCTCCCCAAGCCTCTGCACCCACTGGGCACTCGATTGGACAAAGGGGAGATGGGGGGGGGGGAAGGAGTGACCCGCGTCTTAGACTCCCTTCCTGTCTGGGCTGGTCAACCCGGGTTCCTGTTCTGATCTACCCTGCCTGGCTTGCTGGGCAGCCTTGGGCAAGTGGCTCACCTTCTCTGAATACTTAAGGAGAAAAATCCCTGCCTATGGAAATAGTATAGGATTAAAAAATAAGACACATGTCAAGTTCCTGCGAGCTTCCTGAGGAGCATCTGTATCTCTGTGGATGTACGATGAACCTGTGAGTAAATGGCTAAGTGAATGCGAGAGGAAATGAGTGGATTGGGGAGACAGGGATCTAAAGACCTGGGGCTGTTCTGACTCTCCCCCCTGCCTGGCCTCACTGCCTGAGACCTGGCTTTCCTTCGAAAGAATGGGGGACCCCTCCCAGGACCAAGTTCCGAGGAGATGGGAGGTCAAGCAGTTCCTTACACTTCCTTCCAAAAAATGAACATTAAAAAAAAGAAGAAGAGCCGAGGCTGGTTTGGCTCAATGGATAGAGCGTCGGTCTGTGGACTCCAGGGTCCCGGGTTCGATTCCGGTCAAGGACATATACCTGGGTTGTGGGCACATCCCCAGTGGGCGGTGTGCAGGAGGCAGCTGATCGATGTTGCTCTCTCATCGATGTTTCTAACTTTCTATCCTTCTCCCTTCCTCTCTGTGAAATATCAATAAAATATATTTTAAAAAATAAAAATAAAAATAAAAAGAAGAAGAAGAACAGCCCTAGCCAGTTTTGCTCAGTAGATAGAGCATTGGCCTGCGGGCTGAAGGGTCCCGGGTTCAGTTCCAGCTAGGGCACATGCCCGGATTGTGGGCTCCATCCCTAGTACTGGGCATGCAGGAGGCAGCCAATCAGTGATTCTCTCCCTTTCCCTTCCTCTCTGGAATCAATAAATACATTTTTTTAAAAGAAGAAGAACATTTGGGTTCTTTCTCCTTAGTTTTGTACACAGAAGGCTACGTAGTACCCTGGGCATCCCCTGGGTTTGTCTCCCCATCTCCCCGTATTCACATCCCACCCTCTCCCTCTGTCAGCTTTTCAATATAGTTACAAATACACTGTTTTGCCAAAATCAATATTCAGTATTAACATCATTATGATTCCAGTGAATATCATTGACCACTGGAATACTGGGATTGCGTTTTCTTTCCTGTACAGCGGTTTGTTTTTCCATAAGTTAATAATTGTCCATCACAAATTCTTCCCAACTCTCCAACAAAATGCAAAAATAGCCCAACAGGATTTTCCACTCTTATTGGGGCTTCTCCCCTGCACACTCGGCGCTCCTGCTCTGATGTGGGTGTGGCTTCCCTCTTGCCAGTGGTGCAGTGTGCTGCTGTCTTCCAGGCCCTGGAGAGGGGGGGGGAACCCCTTTTCCCTGTCTCCCAGTTTGAACCACGTTCCTGAATCCCTTCCTTTTTTTCTCTTTTTCTTTTTTAATTTAACTCCTTATTTTGGTGGGACACATCCTGCAGTATCTTTCTCAGCAAGATGTTGAATGTCTGACTGTATCTTTATTCCCACCTTCATGCTTGATGTTTGGCAGGCCATACATTTTATTTATGTATGTATTTGTACCATCTTAAATGAACACAATGTCCCTCTGAATTTTCCAGGCCTCGCTCCACTGTCCCTCGTTTTTTTAGAAGTGCAAAGCCACGCGGAGTCTTACCTCTGTGTGATGCCTGCCTTCCCTCTCTCGGGGCCTTTACAATCTTCCCTTTTCTCTGGGTCACTAACACTTCACGGGGAGGGGCCTCAGGAGTGTCCTCTTTCAGTCCCGGAGCTGAGCACTTCCTGGGCTCCTTTAAACTGGACTCCCGTGGCCCTCAAACCTGCCTTCTTTTTTTTCTCACTGTTTATGTGGCAATTTCCTCTATTTTTGGATTGCCTCTTGACCAAATGACAAACCTGCTCCATTCATCTTCCATATCCTATATATATATATATATATATATATATATATATATATATATATATATGAATATATATATGAATATATATGAATATATAAATCATAAATATATAAAATATATATATATTTTTTTTATTGATTTTTCAAAGAGAAGAGAGAGGGATAGAGAGTTAGAAACATCGATGAGAGAGAATCATTCATCAGCTGCCTCTTGCACACCCCCTACTGGGGATGTGCCCGCAACCAAGGTACATGCCCTTGACCGGAATCAAACTCGGGACCCCCCAGTCCGCAGGCCAACGCTCTATCCACTGAGCCAAATCGATTTCAGCATCAATTCATCTTCTAACGTTACTACCTTTCCCTTATTTTCCATCTCTGCACCTGCTTTGTTCTGTTTCCAGGGATATTTGCTTAACTGTATGTTCCAGTCCTTACATTGATTTTATTCCAGCCATTATATTACATATTTATGTTCTAACACATGGTCTGACCCTCGATCCTTTTTACGGAGCACCATCCTGCTCCCATTTCATGGATACAGCCTTTGTCTCACACCACTCTGAGAACAGTAACTACAGCTTTCCCTGTCTGTCTACCAGTATTTCTTCTGAGATGTCACCCCCCTCACCGCCAACCATTCCGCGCCCCTCTCTCAATTAGAAACTTTACTGAGATGTCCGGCAAGCTCCAGCCATCACTCTCACTTAGTCATGGAGCCTGACAGCCAATAAGCAGTGTCAGGAGTTCCAGGTCAGACAGACAGAGGGGGACGGGGCGAGCCGTGTTGTGTCGGTCGGTGCTCAGGAGAGAACCTGTTGTCCCTGCGAGCTGAGCCACAGCACCAGGAACATTCGTGCGGACATTGATCTGGTTCAGACTGTTCTGGAACCGAAAGGAGTGGGCTCCGTGTGCGGTCCCAGCGGGGCGGGCCGTGAGGTCTGCCGGGTCTGCCTGCACCGCTGGCCGCGGCCTGGTGTCCGTGTGCAGGCAGATGAGGCAGGCCCCCCGCCTGCAGCCCTGGACGGGTGTGTGCAGAGAAAGGAGGACTCTGCCAGCATCTGCGCTGAAGCTATAAGCACCCCCAGCTCCTGAGTGGAGGCTGCCCGCTCAGGCTGACAGCGCCCATTTCCTCCACTCACTGGCCTTTGAGGAAGGAGTCCCCTCAGGAGCTGGGGGAGGGAGGGCGCGGGGAGAGTAGGACCACAGGTGCCAGCTCTGCCCCAGCTCCCTGAGCTGCTGCTGTCTCACCTTTGCAAGCAGCTGCCGGCCGGAGGCAGCCTCCTGCAGCCTCTCCCTGCTCCGCACAGGTGGCCTAGGAGAGGGAGGGGTGGTCCTGCACCCACCCTACCCCACCCCCATCCTCCTCAGGCCTCCCAGCTCCCTGCGGCACCTGAGCAAGGCCAAGCCTGGGTCTCAGCCTGCCCATGGGGGGGAGACAGGACAGAGTGGCAGCTCCGATACTGGAATCAGACTGTGGACGCCAATGTTAGCCTCACCCGGGTCCCTAAGGTGGTCAGGCCTCATGGACCTCACTGTCCTTCTGAGAACTGGAGTGCCCATCATCCCAGGGGGAGGTTCCTGGGTGTGTGACTCACCCCAAGGACCTATTAATTAACTGCTTCTTTGGCCCACCTACAGTGAGCCCAGTAATTCAATTTCCAAGTCACACCCCCCCCCCCCAGCCCCCAGGTGTGGGCTGCGGGGGAAGGGGGGAGGGGGGAGGGGGGAGGGGTGGTCACTACCAGTTGTATTCTCTGGGGCGGGGCCTTTGGCGGGGTGGGGCAGGAGGTTTGGGGTATGAGCCCGGGAAGGGACTAGCCCGCAGGAGGGGCATTGGAGGAGGGTGGTGGCTCAGGTCTGCAGAGATGTGCTCACACTGTGTCCCCTTCTTTGTCTCCCCGCCACCCTATCTGCCTGCCCCGCGCCCTTGTCTCCTCTCCCATGACTGTCTGCCCCCTTTCTTCTGTTTCTGCATGTCTCTCCCACCTTCTTCTTGCGGCCTCTTGGCCTCTCCCATGTCACCCTCCTGACATGTGTGTGTCTCCCCCTCTCCTTGGGTCCGCCGTGTCTCCGTCCCTCCGTGCTGCCCCCCTTCCTGCTTTCCTGCCGTCTCTTCCCGGCGCCGCCTGCCGCCCCCCGCCCGGCCGCGCGGTGGCGCTGTCCCGCCCGCAGCCTGCAAGCGCAAGGAGCAGGAGCAGCAGAAGGAGCGCGCGCTGCAGCCCAAGAAGCAGCGCCTGGTGTTCACCGACCTGCAGCGCCGCACGCTGATCGCCATCTTCAAGGAGAACAAGCGGCCGTCCAAGGAGATGCAGGTCACCATCTCGCAGCAGCTCGGCCTGGAGCTCAACACCGTCAGCAACTTCTTCATGAACGCGCGGCGCCGCTGCATGAACCGCTGGGCCGAGGAGCCCGGCGCGGCGCCCGGGGGTCCCGCCGGCGCCGCCACCTTCTCCAAGGCCTGAGGCGCCCCGGCCCCGCGCCCTCCCCGCGCCCACGGTCTGGGCGCTGCCCGCCCCCCGCACCTCCCCCCTCCCCCAGACGGCCCGGAGACCCGCCCCTGGGCCCCCCGGAGGGGGTGCGGCCCGGGCCTCCCACACCCCGGGAGGGGACGCAGCACACCCCTCAGCCCAAGTGCACAAAAGGGCCCCTCCTCCCTCCGCCCCACCCTCCAGGCCAAAGGAAGCCCCCGCCACCCTCACCCCAGGGTGGGGGTGACAGACGGGGGCTCCCCAGCTCCCAATGCAGGATGCTCAGGGGCCTTGGGAAAACCAGGGCTCACCGTGTCCTCCCCGAAAAGCGGGTCAAGAAGCACATACTAGAAATATAAACCGGGTATTTAAAAAAAAGAAAAGGAATTTTCAGAATAATCCCTTCTTAGCCCCAACCCAGACCACTACCACCACCACCACCACCCCCAGACCGCCCCTTCTGAAGTCGCCATGTCCAGCGAGATCCCTACCGCGCCCCCACCCCACACCAAGACACCCCATCGGATCGGATCGCTGAACGGCCACCACAGCCAAGAGCCCAGCTGCCCTCCTCGCGGCAGCCAGGATCCCTTGTGCCAAGAATTGCTTGCCTTAACGTCTGGGAAGGGGGCCTGCAATGGCGACCGCCCAGCACCCATAGGCGAGCACCCTCTCCCACCCCCTCCCATCCCACCTCGTCCCGGACTGGAGGGAGGGCACCCTCAGACCCGCCGGTACCCTCCAGGCGCGTCCCCTCCCCTTGCACCCTCCTGTCGGGTCCCTTTAGCTTTAGGCGGCTCGATGAATGACACGCAGGGAGAGACGGACCACAGGAAACGGAAGACATCCAGGTTCCACCGAGAGCTCCCTGGACCCCGAGAGAGCGCCGGAGCCGGGCCGTGGGGTGCGGCCCGGGGCCCGTGGGGGCCACAGGGGTGGACCTGTGCTTGCCCTGTCTCTCTCCACAGAGAAGAAGGTGGAATCTGTTTGCTCCGTGTTTTTGCCAAAAAAAAAAAAAAAAAAACTTGACAAGGGGGTAGGAAGGGTCAGCAATGAAGATGAGCGCCACCCATGGCCCCTGCTCAGCTGGTCCGGGTGACCCCCGGGACTGGCCTGCCTCCTCGGGGCTCGCGACCAAGAGGCCAGAGGAACCTTCCCCAGACCCGGCCCCCTGCTGCCTCCCAGCGAGGCGCCCCTGCCCCCCCTGAGAATGCAAGAGACGGTTCCAGTGAAATGCCCCTCCCCCTCCCAGGTAAAGGCTACCTCACTCCGATGTTCATGTCCGTGATTGGAAAAATCACACCGATACCAAAGATTCCCCCCCCCGAGGACTTGTGCTGGTTGTTAGAATTCCCTCTGACTGTGCTCACGGGCCTGCCCTGAGCCCCGCCCTGTAGGTGCCCCCACCCCCAAAGAGAGTGAAAGAGAGGGAGAGAGGATAGTGAGGTCGATGAGTGCCTTTTTCTTGAACCAAAGATGTGTGTGAAATGTTCTCTTGTCCTTATCGACTCGCTATTGTCCGGGCCTTTTAAGCAACTGGATCTAAGTGATGCTTCTAAAGCCTCTGGGTGTTGGGGCGTTATCCTAAGAATGCCCATTCTGGCTCAGCCACCGACTCCTTCCCCCAAACACAGGTGGTCACAGCCCCCTTTACCCGCCCCCACCCCGTCCCCCACACCCGCTAACACCTGGGCCCCACTGGCCGGAGCACCGGATGGCAGGGACCTGGCTTCCTGGACTCTCTGCTGGGCAAGCCGCTTGCTCTTCCTGACGTTTGAGGCCCAAGGGTAAGAGGCCAGGAGCCTCCCGATCTGCCCCCTGCTGGAAATTCAGAAATCGTCTTAGGATCCCTCTGGCTGTAGAACATTCTAGTGATGGTGAACTGTGGTCAGATCAGGTCAAGCCCCATTGACACAGGTCACAGAAGCATCCTCCCATTCCTGGTTCCCTTCCTAACACCTTCACATCACACACGTGCACATGTGCACACACACACACCAGCTCCTAGACCCCCTTCCCCAGCTGGCCAGTCCCCCTCCAGCAGGCCTGCGCCCGGCCCTCTCCCAAGCCCCCCCCCCCCCGGGTCCCACCCCTCCTGTCGCCAACACCCAGCTGGCCATCGCAAACCAAAGACCATTCTCCATGCAGGGAACAGCACCTCCAGCACAGCTCCTTCGAGCCTTTGACAATTTTCTCTGAAATACCTCAAAATATTTAATGTATAGTTTATGTGATTTTAAAAAAAAAATCCTTAGATAGTTTTTGGAATACGTGACTTGAAGCTTTATACCGTAAAATTATAATTTTTGCAGACGATGGGATGTCATTTCTTTGACGAGTTCCGTGGGAGACATAGTGAATGTTGGGGCTGCGGACGCTGGGCGGTCAGAGAAAGAGGGAGCAAGAGCGAGAGACTGAGCTCCGAGGACGAGGGACCAGGCGTTTACAGGTTTCTTACTTAAATGAGTCCTTAGGAAAGAGGAAGAGAGAGAGATGCTTTTGTGTTCTCTGGTGTGTTCTGCTTCTTGTTTTTGGAGTCATGTCTTATAAGAGTATTTATTATTCTATGTGGTCTGTGTTCAAATGTAATTTAAGAAAAAAAAAAAGGAAGAAAATGGAAGGAAAAAAAAAAGACAAAGTGGGATTTGATTTGCTGCATGACTAATGTACTCTTTCTGGATAATGTACTACGTGGACGGGGTGGGGGGTGGGGATGGGGGGGCGTGGGGACGGGGCCCCCAGTCCGTGTGCATCCTTGTGTTTTGTGCTCGAGCCATTGCCGTCTGGGCCCCTTTGCACTGCTCTCTGTTGATTTCCCCCTTTCCAGCCGGCGGTGGGAGGAAAGAAGAAGGCAGACAGCGGGGCCTGAGCACCCGGCCAGGCTGCCCCGCCTGTGCCTGCCTCTTGGGCGCGTGGCTGTCACTGCCCTCTCGGACCCCCATTGGTGTCACGTTAGCATGAGTTCCCAAGTGTCTTGTTCAGAGGAGAGAGACAATCAATGCGAGTCTTGTCGCCCAGGGCGGTGTGAGGCTGGGGCGTACTCCAACTTCCTGAGATCCTAAGAACCCTCCTGAGACACCCCACAGCGATCCAGGTCAGGCACCCGGCCAGGCACCCCTGGGCCTGAGCACACACACCTTCCTGTCTGGCCTGGGAGGTCGGGGGCTGCATTTCCTCCCTCCCGCCTGCATGGGGACCCCCACAGCCCTCCCTAAAAGAGGACTCCACGCCCCCAGCTCCACTTCTGGCCTGAGGCCCCACACTGCCACCAGGATGGCCCACCTCTTAAGACAGGTCCCAGGAAGGGGGTCCCTCATACCCTGAAGGACAAAGAGCCAGTTTGGAGGATCAGCCCCCCCAAAAAAATGGGGGTGGGGTGCACATGCCCCAGGACCCTGCCACCCAGCCCCTGCGTCAGCTGGAATGTGGGCCGTTTCCCATTCTCTGCCCAAAGCCACACCGGCCGTCAGATCCTTGGGCTCCTCCTTGTGGCCCCAGCAGGCCACTGCCACCCCCCCATACACACACACACACATATCCCACCCCCACCGCCCAACACACACACACACACACACACACACATCCCACCCCCACCCCCCAATACACACACACACACACATATCCCACCCCCACCCCCACCCCCCAATACACACACACACACACACATCCCATCTCCCACCCCCACCCTCACCCCCACCCCCCAACACACACACACACACACACACACACACACACACACATATCCCACCCCCACCCCCCAACACACACACACACACACACACACATATCCCACCCCCACCCCCACCCCCCAACACACACACACACACACACACACACACACGCACACGGGCTGGCCTTGGGGTGGATTCCCTCGGCCAGGGGTGAGGGAGAGCCCTGAGTGTTCAATCAAGACTGGACACGAGGGCTGTTTTCAGGGGAGACACTACAGGGGGTGTCCCCCCCAATGCTAGAGGGGACAGAAGCCCTCCTCACCCCACCCTCAGGCGACAGGCTTAAAAGTTAAAAAAAAGAAAAAGAAGAAAAAAAAAGAATCATCTTCATTGTTAACCATTGCTGTGCTGGATTTGTTGTTTTGTTTTTCTCCAATAAATTATTTTCTAGTCACTCACCAGGGCGTGTGTGTTGGCTGACAGTGTGGAGGGGGCGGGGGCGGGAGGGGGCTCCGCCACCGTGAAAATGGGGAGGAGCAGAGGGGACCAGGGAGGAGGAAGGCTACCTCCCCAGCCCGGTCCTCTCCGGGGCAGGCCACAGCCATCCCGAGCCCAGCCTCCGTGGGAACCTCGGAGAGTCAGAGGAAACTCAAGGCCTTGGAGCCGCCAGCCTGACCACAGAGATCCTGCTGGGCCTGTGTCTGAGGCCTCAGTGCCCATTGCTCTCTGGAGCGTGGATTGTCTGTTCGAAGGGAAGAGCAGGGCGGCCTGGCAGGGGAACGGGCGGGGACCTTGCCCACTGCCCTGGGCGGGCCAGCAGGCAGCAGCCGGGAGCCAGGACTGGTAAGCGGAATCTGCTCAGCACACTTCTCCCTTCTGAGAGCAGTGAAGTTTTATCTACATTATCTACCCCAGGGCGGAGGAGGGAAAATAGATAAAGCAAGCTTAAGTGCCTGGCTAGCATGCTCAGTGGTTAGAACCCTGGCCTGCACACTGGAGGGTCACGGGTCAATGCCAGGTCAAGGGCATGTACCCAGGTTGCAGATTCAATCCCTGCCCAGCCCCTGGGGCAGGGGCAGGGGGCAACCAATCGATGTGTCTCTCTCATGAGGATGTTTCTCTCACCCTCCCTCCCGTCCTCCCTCCATTCCTTCCACTCTTACTAAAAATGAATGGGAAAAAAAAAAAAAAAAAAAATATATATATATATATATATATATATATATATATATATATCCTCAACAACAACAAAAAAGCTTTTCCTGCAAATCTCCCACCTGGCCGCCGGAGATGAGTGTTTTAATTTTTAAAACCAGGGAAGCCTTCCAGGATGCATCGCAGAAAGAAGCACAGGCAGAGTGACCTCAGGAGCCTGAGCTCAGAGGGACCTGGTTTATTAGAGAAAGAAAAGGATGTGAAGCTGAAACCGGTTTGGCTCAGTGGTAGAGCGTCGGCCTGCGGAGTGAAAGGTCCCGGGTTCGATTCCGGTCAAGGGCATGTACATTGGTTGCGGGCACATCCCCGGTAGGGGGTGTGCAAGAGGCAGCTGCTCAATGTCTCTCTCTCATCAACGTTTCTAGCTCTCTATCCCTCTCTCCTCCTCTCTGTAAAAAAATCAATAAAATGTATATATATATTTTTTTTTCTTTTTTTTAAAGAAAAGCTTGGGAAGCCTTTCCGAGTGGGGAGGGGGTGCCCCGGGCTTCCTGAGCCCGGGAATTACCACTCCCCAGGCGGGGGGCCGCCCACCAGGAATGTGGGCCTTGGCTCCCCAGGCACTGGCGGGCTCTCCATGGGTGATGGCTGCCTCTCGAGGGCGAGGGTGCGGGTGCCACCTCTGCAGGTCCTCTATTTGTGGGTGGTTCTCTCCTCCTCATGGATGCTGGTTCTCTTTTTTAAATGACTGGCCTGGCCCTAGCTGGTTTGGCTCAGTGGAGAGCGCGCTGGTCTGTGGACTGAAGAGTCCCGGGTTTGATTTCGGTCAAGGTCATGTACTTTGGTTGTGGCTTGGTCCCCAGAGGGGGGATGGGGGGTAGGGGAGAGCACGCCTGTGGGAGGCAGCTGACCAATGTTTCTCTCTCATTGACGTTTCTGACTCTCTATACGTCCCTTCCTCTCTGAAAAATCAACAAGAATATATTTTTATAAAATGACCGGCCTGAAGGCCATGCTGGCTCTTAGGAAGGGGCATCTGGCTTCCTCTGGGGGAGGGGGTGGCCCCTCCTTGGGGGTGGCAGAGTCTCAGGAGAACATGGGCCGGCCCACTCACTGGCAGTTTCCTGGGGAAAGAGCCAGATTGCCGTCAGTGGAGGGCGCCAGGCTCGGGTGCGAGCACTGCTCCTCCACGGAAGGAGGAGCTCAGGGGGGCGGGGGGCGGGGGGCTGCGTGTGCGTGGGGGACACCTCCCCACAGCGCTGGTGCCTCTTCCTCCCCAAGAAAGACACCGCCTTCTGGTGCGAGGCTGAGGCCTCGAGGGGGCGGTGTGAGCAGCCGGAGGGGTGCTGTGGACCCCTGGTGGCCTCCGCAGACTCGTGCCCCGCGTGATGAGCTCTGCGTAGCCTTCGCGGTGGGAGAAGGCATAGCTGGAGCGCCGGGCGCGGGACTGCCGGCAAAGGTGGGGCAGAGGCTCCGCGGGGATCTCCTCAGCCTTCCCCTGCTTCTCCTGCAGGGCAGAGGGGCGGGCAAGGTCACCAGGCTCCACACTCCGTGGAATACTCTGGGTCACCTGCTCCCAGTGGGGGCCATTCATAAACCTTGGCCAGCTCCTCCCTACCCAACCACAGTTCTCCCTGGGACCCAACGCTGGACCAGCCAATCACAGCCCTTCCCTGGGACTTGACTCTAGATCAGCTACCAGGTGCCTGAGCTGCCCTCGTGCGGCAAAGCTGGAGAGGTTAACCAGGGGGCAGCCTGTGGGGCAGAACACAGCGGGTCTGTGGCTATATCTTGGCCCACTATGTCAGCCAGTTCTCCAGCCCAGCCCAGCTGCAACTGGTCCTTCTAGTTTTTTGTTACCTGAGCTAGTAAGCCTCCCCAACTCCCATACACCTTTTTTCATTTGTGATAAAACAGACATAAAATATACCATTTTAGCCGAAACCGGTTTGGCTCAATGGATAGAGCGTCGGTTTGGGGACTGAAAGGTCCCTGATTCTATTCCGGTCAAGGGCATGTACCTTGGTTGCGGGCATATCCCCAGTAGGGGGTGTGCAAGAGGCAGCTGATCGATGACTCTCTCTCATCAGTGTTTCTAACTCTCTATCTCTCTCCTTTCCTCTCTGTACAAAATCAATAAAAATATATAAAAAAATAAAATGTACCATTTTAACCATTTTTAAGTGCACATCTCGGTGGCATTAAACACCTTAACATTGTTATGCAACTATCACTTCCACCTCCAGATCTTCATCTTCCCAAGCTGACCTTCTGTCCCTATTAAAAACGAGTTCCCCCCCCCCCCCCGGCTCCCTCCGCCTTCTTCCTGTCCATAAATCTAACCCTCCAGGGACCTCTTGTGAGTGGAGTCACACAGGAGCTGCCCTTTTGTGACAACGGGCTTCTCTCGCTGAGCACACGGTCCTCGAGGGTCATCTCCATTGAAGCAGGGGCCAGAGCTTCCGTGTCTTAAAGGCTGAGCAGTGTCCTGCTGTGTGGATGAATCGCCCTGCGTTTGTCCATTCATCCATCGGTGGGCACTGGCGGTGTTTCTAAGGTCCCCTTTTTGCCTAAACCCGTTCCAGGTCACTTCTGTAATCTCAGCCCCCAGCCCTGGTAATTCCCGGTGGAAGTCTGACCGCCTCCGTCCGGGAAGTCCGGTTTCCTTCCCGAGCTCCCGGGGCCTGTCGTCTGCCCCTCCTGCGGGCACTGGGTGTGCCTCTGGGTCTCCAGTCCTCTACCCCCAGCTCCCATCTCCTCGGCGTCCCTGCTCCCAGCACCGGCTCTGGCTGGTGGGTCCCAGGAATGTGCAGGGGGCACCCCAGCCACCCTCACCTTGGAGTGCGGCTTCCTGAGGGCCTGGCGAATGGCGGGCACGGCCAGCCTGGGCAGGGTGCTCAGTGCCACGTTCAGCGGGACCACCAGCAGGACGGAGGGGTGGGACAGCACGTTGCGGTCAGCGTCTGGGGACGGGGCAGAGTCACAGCCCGGCCCAGGGGGAAGCCTCCCCGAGCCTGCTCGGTGCCCCCTGGTCCAGACACCCCACCTCCTTCCTCACCTTCACCCCAGAAGGCCTTGGTGCAGATTCCCTAAAGACTCAGGCCCCACCCATTTCCGGGGCTGCCACCCTGCTCCCCGCTGCGGGTGGGGGTGGGGGTGAGGGTGGGGGTGGGGGTGGGGGTGGGGCTCACACAGGAAGGGGAAGGTCCTGGGGGAGACGGTGAAGAGCCAGAGGCTCTGGCTCGCCCACGTTGTCACCACGTAGAAGCAGAGGCTGAGGAAGATGGCCAGCCCCGCCAGGACCGTCCAGCACTTGATGATGAGGATGACCTAGCGGGGAAGGAGGAGTAAGCCATGGGGCCCCCAGGTTCAAGGGGCACCTGCCCAGGCCTCTCAGGAGGGGCGGCCAGGTGGTGAGACCTTCACGGTCTGTGGGGCGGGCAGCAGCCGGGCCTACCTCCACGGTGACGGACAGCAGGCCCGACAGGGCCACCACCGCCGCCAAGGACTGGTAGTCGCTGAGGGGCCCCGCCGTGTCCTGGCTGACCCCCAGGGTCACGAAGAAGCTGGCCAGGGAAGTGGCCGTGCCGTGGGCGACGGCCTGGAGGAAGACCCGGCAGTTGAAGAGCTCGTCCTTCTGGCCGGCCCCGTACAGCTGGGGCCGCGCCAGGCTCCGCTCTGCACTCACGTCCTGGGACAGGGTGGAGGAGAGAGGGGGTTCCGGAGGCCGGCTGCACAGCCACACGCAGGGGCTGGGCGGCTCTGCGGATGCCTGCGGCGGGTGCGTGAGAATGGTGAGATGGAGAACGTTGTGATCGGTGTTTTGCCACCATTTTAAAACTTTTTTAAAAAACAAAATGATGCCGAAACCGGTTTGGCTCAGTGGATAGAGCGCCGGCCTGCAGACTGAAGGGTCCCGGGTTCGATTCCGGTCAAGGGCATGTACCTTGGTGGCGGGCACATCCCCAGTAGGGGGTGTGCAGGAGGCAACTGATCGATGATTCTCTCTCAATGATGTTTCTAATTCTCTATCCCTCTCTCTTCCCCTCTGTGAAAAATCAATAAAATATATTTAAAAAAGAAAGAAAAAAAAGTGAGCCGAAATTGGTTTTGCCTAGTGGATAGAGCATCGGCCTGCGGACTGAAGGGTCCCGGGTTCGATTCCGGTCAAGGGCATGTACCTTGGTTGCGGGCACATCCCCAGTAGGAGGTGTGCAGGAGGCAGCTGATCGATGTTTCCAACTCTCTCTTTCCCTTCCTCTCTGTAAAAAATCAATAAAATATATTAAAAAATAAAAAAGAACTCAAAATGAAAGGCTCGTTCCTCAGGTCCCACCAGGCATGCCTCAAGTGCCCATCATCAGCCACCTGTGGCTGGTGGCTCCCACCTGGACAGCACAGGCATGAGACACTTCCCTCATCCTAAGCATCCTGTTCTGGGCCACTTAGCAGACCCTCTCGGCGGGAGGGGGGGGGGGGGCCAAGGCAAACGGGAGAACCATCTTTTCTGACCCCCTCCCCACTGCTGGGCAGACGGTGGACCTGAGACTTGGGAGTGGTCCCAAAAGGGCGGGCTAGCTGGGCAAAAGGACTTCCCCCCTCTCGGCTGAGCTTGGTGGGAACAGTTACAGGGCAGTGGTCTAGGAGCCCTGCCCACCCCCACCCCAGCCCCACAGGAGCAGAAGGTGTGGCAGAGACGGGAGTGTCCACAGGGAAGGAGGAGGCGAGTCCTCAGCCTGCTCACCTGCTCGAAGAGCCCGATGTACAGAGCGGGGAGGCTGGTGTACAGCAAATTGAAAAGCACCAGGAACCAGCCTTCGTACAGGGGCTGGGAGGGGGGAGGGAGAAGGTGGTCAGTGGTCAGCCTCCAGATGCCATGTGTCCGGAAACAGATGTGCTCTCCACCTGAGGGGACCCACCCAAGGCAATTTTACCCAAAAATTCTCGTTTAGCATCTGCCTGTGGACTGAAGGATCCAGGGTTTGCTTCAGGTCAAGGGCATATGCCAGTAGGGGGCGTGCAGGAGGCAGTTGATCAATGATTCTCTGTCATCATTGATGTTTCTTTCTTTCTTTTTTAATATATATTTTATTGATTTAAAAATATATATACTTTATTGATTTTGTACAGAGAAGAAGGGAGAGAGATAGTTAGAAACATCGATGAGAGTCATCGATCAGCTGCCTCTTGCATACCCCCTACTGGGGATATGCCCGCAACCAAGATACATGCCCTTGACCAGATTCGAACCCGGGACCTTTCAGTCCCCAAGCCGACGCTCTATCCATTGAGCCAAACCGGTTTCGGCTATTTTATTGATTTTCTACAGAGAGGAAGGGAGAGAGCTAGAGAGCTAGAAATGTTGATGAGAGAGAAACATCGACCAGCTGCTTCCTGCACACCCCCCACTGGGGATGTTCCCGCAACCAAGGTACATGCCCTTGACCGGAATCGAACCCAGGATCTTTCAGTCCGCAGACCGACACTTTACCACTGAGCCAAACCGGTTTTGGTTCATTGATGTTTCTATTATATCTCTCTCCCTCTCCCTTCCTCTCTGAAATCGATAAAAATATATTTTTAAAAAATAATAAAAATAAATAATTCCATAAATAAATGAGGGAGAAGGAATGGTTGGTTCTTCCTACAGGAGAATTCTAGTTACCTAATGTAGAAAGATGGAACACTGTCCTCGCTAAGCTCAGGAACAAGACAAGGATGCCAGCCCTCACCACCTCGCTGGGCGTTCCAGCCGGAGCAAGTAGGTAAGGGAAGGAAATAAAAGGCACCCACACTGCAGAGGAAGAAGGAAAACTATCTCTACTGTCAGGTGACACGCAGAAAACCCCAAAGGAGCCACAGAAACCTCCTGGAGCCAATAAAGGAATTCAGCAAATTTACAGAAAAACCACCTAAAGGACATCAAGAAAACAATCCCAGGCCGAAACCGGTTTGGCTCAGTGGTAGAGCCTCGGCCTGAGGACTGAAAGGTCCCGGGTTCTATTCCAGTCAAGGGCATGTACCTTGGTTGCGGGCACATCCCCAGTAGGGGGTGTGCAAGAGGCAGCTGATGGATGATTCTCTCTCATCGAGGTTTCTAACTCTCCCTCTCTCTTCCTCTCTGTAAAAAATCAATAAAATATATTATTTTAAAAAAGGAAAGAAAACAATCCCAAGCACAGCAGCATCTAAGAGAATAAGATATCTAGAAACAAAACAGTAAAACCAACAGCATCCAGTTATCCAGGTGCCTCTCTGTAAAGCTCCCTCTCAGACGCCGTGGTATCAACGACAGGGAGCTGCTTCCCTGTCTCGGCCACCCGGGGACATTCAGACCGTCCTTGCGCTCAGGGGAAACCACCTCTCGATGGCTCTGAGGGTCCAGAGGCGATCTGCTCCTCACCATGCTCCCGTGGAGAGCCTTGCAGTCAGGGACCCAGCCCCCACCATCGTCTCTTCTCTGGGGCTCACGCTTACTCTGTCTCCCTTAGAAAGACCTGCCTTTGGAGAAGCTGCCCTGCCTGGCTTCACAGCTCAGCTGTCAGACATGCGGAACCTGCCGGGCACACAGCCGGGCAGGGACGACGCCCGCCCTCTGCCTGGACTCCGTGCTTGTACGGAGAAAGGTGGCATGGCCCTGCGACCTCAGGCCGCCCTGCCCCACAGGACCGCAGGCTATGAGTGAGCCTGCTGCCCCCCCCCCGCCCCCCGGGAGCCATGCCCAGGGCCCCGCACCCCAGAGAGCCCCCGAGGGCCGTTTGCCCGCACCTGGGCGGTGAAGCCGCTGTAGAAGGCGAACCAGACCTGGACCGTCATGCTGGCCAGCGTCTTGTAGACGAAGAAGCGCAGGAACTTGCACACGCGCACGTAGGCCCAGCGCCCGTGCACCAGCAGCAGCCGCCGCAGGAAGCGGAACTGGGCCAGCGTGTAGTCGCTGCTCTGCGCCACCTGCCCGCCCTCCGGGCCCGCCAGCCCCACGCCGATGTCCGCCACTGCGGGACACACAGCCCGTGGGCCTGGGCCACCCCCGCCCGCACAGGCCTCCCCTCTCAGCTCCCCCCGCCACAGGCCTCCCCTCCCAGGTCCCCCCGCGGGGCGCCCGCACAGGCCTCCCCTCCCAGCTCCCCCCGCGGGGCGCCCGCACAGGCCTCCTCCCCCTCCCAGCTCCCCCCCCCCTCCCGGCAGGGCGCCCGCACAGGCCTCCTCCCGCTCCCAGCTCCCCCAGCGGGGCGCCCGCACAGGCCTCCCCTCCCAGCTCCCCCAGCGGGGCGCCCGCACAGGCCTCCCCTCCCAGCTCCCCCCGCGGGGCGCCCGCACAGGCCTCCCCTCCCAGCTCCCCCGCGGGGCGCCCGCACAGGCCTCCTCCCGCTCCCAGCTCCCCCGCGGGGCGCCCGCCACCCACTCTCGATCATGCTGACGTCGTTGGCGCCGTCCCCGATGGCCAGGGTCACCGCGTGCCGGTGCTTCTTCACCAGCGCCACCAGCAGGGCCTTCTGCGCGGGCGTCGCCCGGCAGCAGACCACGGCCTGGCACCTGCAGGCCAGCTCCACGAAGGCCCGCTCCCGCCGCGCCCCGGGGCTCTGGTTCCTGGGCGCCAGCCCCGGGCACCTCAGCCGGGCCCCCAGGGCCCGCCACGTCAGAGGGGTGCGCCCGGCCTGCGGGCCGTGGGCCCTGGGCTCCCCCGGCTCCCGCCGGGACCCCCCCACGGCCACGCTCACATTCTGGACGAGCTCCTGGGCCTCCTTGCTCAGGGACGGCAGCAGCTGGTCCTGGCGGGCGGGGGGGGGGGGGGGCGCGTCACTCTGCCTGCACCCCTTCCCTTCACGAACACCCCACTGGCCGCTCCTCCTGCCGTGCCCCTGCCCCTGCCCCTGCGCCTGCCCAGGCTAGCCTTGGCCTCATGGCTCCCGTCCCTGAGAACCATGCCCTGGTGTAGCACTCACTTTGGCTTCCCCAATAGTCCACGCCCCCTCTGCGGCTCCCCCAGCCCCTCCCACGCCCGGAGGCCCCCCAGGGAGCCCGAGCTGGCACTGACCAGGAACTCTCCGGAAATGACCATGGCCGCTTTGACCTGTGGCGGGAACCAGTTCCTCGGGGACCCCTGGCCACTGGGCAGGTTGTTGTTGCTCTCCCAGTAGGTCTCCAGGATCTGACTGCAGAGACCCCCTGGGCTCAGCCACGCCCGTGCACAAGCTTCCTTCCACCCCCTCCCTGGCGGTGCCTCAGTTTCCCCCTCAGGGAACCCAGCCAGGTGGAGGCTGAGGACGTTCTGCAGACCCCAGAGCCACATCTGAGCCATGGGTGTCCCCGACCCCCGTCCTCACCCTGCTCCCACCAGCTCGTCCACCCCCACCCCCACTGCTTACATGACCTCCTTCTCCTCCAGAATGAGCATGTCCTCGGACAGGAGCCGGCAGGCAAAGCTGATATTCACCGCAGTCTCTGAAAACCAGCCTGCTCAGCCCCTGGCTGCCCCCTGCCCAGGGTCAGGCCCACCCTGCCCCACCCCCTGGCAACTGTGATTGGTTCAGAGGAGGGCATGTCACCCAGGCCGTCCAATGAGAGCCAACCCTGAGACTTTGGCTGCAGCTCTGATCAAAGGGGCCTGTGCTCTGCCTGGCTGTCTGGGGCTGGGCTACTAGAGGGAAGTGATTCTGGGGCCAGGGGTCAATAGATACATCATGCCGAGAGCCCACAGGCCCACCTCCCTCCCTCCCTGCTGGGGATGGCTTCCCGGGACTCACCTTGCTTATCTCCTGTGAGCACCCACACTTTGATGTTTCCTTGCTGGAGACACTGGATGGTTTCAAGGACGCCGTCCTGGAGCCTGTCTTCAATGGCGGTGGCTCCCAGCAGCTGGGGGTGGAGGTGGGGCCCAGGAGCAGGCTGAGCAGGGGCTCCGCCATCCAGGCAGCGGGGGGAAGTGGGGGGGGGGGGGGGGGGGAGACACCTGGGGCCCAGGGGCTGGGACCCGGAAGCTGGAGCCCCGCCGCCTGCCACGCCCACCTGGAGGCCCTGCTCCATCTCCTCGTACAGCCGGTGCAGGGCTCCGGCCCGGTCCTGACTGTCCTGACGGAGGACGCTGGCCTCCCGGTGCCGCCTGCGCCACCGCTGGTACGCGTCCTCGTCCACCCGTTTGTAGGCCAGGCACAGCGTGCGCAGCGTCTGCTGGGCGAAGGCCTGGGCCGCCCCGCAGGCAGGCAGGCAGGCGCCCCCTGTCACCACCCTCCTCCCCACACTGCTCCAGTCAGCCCCTCTCAGCGCCTCTCTCTGCCTGGGCTCCCGAACCCTGATCCCCGCACAGTGTGTCCTCCCAGAGGGGGCTGGGCTCCCGTGCTGCCATGCTCCCGGTTTCAGCCCCACAAGAGGCCCACTTCTGTTCTCCCTACGCGCTGTGCGGCCATTTCCAACTCTCCCGGAGACACTCCGGGCAGCCCTGCCAGAACTCCCGCCAGCCAGGCCCCGCAGTCCTTGACCCCCGCCCTTGACCCCGGGTTTGGCTCAGTGAATAGAGCATCAGCATTCGGACTCAAGGGTCCCGGGTTCGATTCCGGTCAAGGGCGTGTACCTTGGTTGCGGGCACATCCCCAGTGGGGGGTGTGCAGGAGGCAGCTGATCAATGTTTCTCTCTCATTGATGTTTCTAGCTCTCTATCCCTCTCCCTTCCTCTCTGTAAAAAAAATCAATAAAATATATATTTTTAAAAATGCTCCCTCTTGTGCAGGTGTAGCTTGGAGTTCAGCTCCTCTCTGAGCACCCTGGACCCTGGAGGCGATTTCTCTGCACATTCTCCTCCTCCTCCTCCTCCTCCTCCTCCTCCTCCTCCGCTTCCCTCCCCGCGGGGACTCACCGTCAGGGCCTCCTCCGTGGTCCCCTCCATCAAGCCCTTCTTCTCCAGGCGCTGGAAGATGACCGTGTCCGCGCCTTTGGTGTAGAGGCGGATGGCGCCCTCTGGGTTCCGGACTGCGAGGGAGAGGCGGCTGCGTGAGCGCTCCCCTCCCCGCCCGCCTCCTTCCCTCCCTGCCCGCCTCCTCCCGGGACAGAAGGTGCTCACCCAGCACCGACATGCGCTTCCGGACGCTGCTGAAGTCCATCATGGCCAGGACCCGGTACACCCGCTGCTCCCCGAGCTCGGTCACCGTGATGCTGTCCCGCGTGCGCGCCGCGAACACGAAGCCGAAACTCCGGGCGGCCGAGACCAGGGCCTCCTCGTCCGGGGACGCCGCCTGGTACCGCAGCCGGTCTGGGGGGCCACGGAGCACCTTCACTGGGCGCCTGCTGTCTTTGGGGGACCCCCCCATCGGCGGCAGGTTCCCTTCCAGCTCCGTGGCCCGGGACGCCGTGCACACGGCGGGCCCTCACCAGATACGGACAATGGTCCCTGGGGCCGAGAGAGCCTCCAAGCCAAATAACAGAGGTGGACACTGGTGTCCCAGGCCAGATGCCACCCACTTCGGTAACAGACGGCGAGCCCCGAGCTGGGACACCCGCTGGGTGCAGAAGAGCTGGGGCTGGGGACACAGGCCTGGGAACGCTCCGGGCTGGACGACAGGACCCCCGGGGGTGGCCTGGACAACCTCTAAGACCAGGAGCCCCTGCGGGGGCCCAGGCCTGAGCACCCTCCCCGCGGGGCGGCCCACGGCCACTCACCGCCCTCCTCCTGCACCATCACCGTGTGGCAGAGGGCCAGCAGGCGCCAGAACTCCCGCACCATCGGGTCCCTGTTGCCACACACCGCGCTCCGGAGCCTCGCGTTTTGGAAGAGTAGCTTCCCGTCTGCCCGGAGGCGAGGGTTCGCCTGGGGGCAGGGGAGCCGGTTCTGGGTAGGTCACGGCCTGACCTCCCGACCCGACCCCCCATCCAGTGCTCCAGGGCCAGCACTCACCTTATGTGGGGTCTCCTCCTCGTCCGGGCCTGGGGAGAGACCCTGCCTCAGGCCTCAGCACCCCAGACAGCTTAGGGTCCCACAGTCCCCACCCCCAATGCCAGTCTTCCCAGGGCCTGGACTCTGAACCCTAAACAACACAGGACCCTCCCCCCCTCCCCCCCCAGCTTCAGCTTTGCCTTCTGCACAAAGGAAGGAAAGATGGGCCCCATCACACACACACACACACACACACACACACACACACACACACACACACCCTCACACTGAGTGGCAGATTATTATGCGTTCGGAGATCATCATAATCTGGCCACTCAGTGTGTATGTATATTAACTTGCTGGCCTGTTCCAGGAATCGCTTGCTGACCCCCAAAGAGAATGCCTCTGGCTGCGGTTCTGAGCGTCAGGTCTGGGTAGGTGTGCGGGGGTGGGGCCCAGGCTGGGGGAGGTCCGTGGACCCTGAGACCCACCCAGGTCTCCAGTGACTGCACTTCCCCGGGCTCCCCGCGCCCAGAGGTCAGTCCTGCGGGCAGCGCCGTGGGGAGGGGACGCGCCGGGCCAGGCCCCACCGTAGATGACTCCGTTGATGCAGCACTTCCTGAAGGCCAGGACGTTCTGGGTGAGCGTGCCCGTCTTGTCCGAGAACACGTACTCCACCTGGCCCAGCTGGTCGCTGAGGCTGGTGCTCCGGGCTCTGGCAGGCGTGCCCCGAGGCGGGTGGTACATCTGTGTGTCCCAGTTGATGAAGATGCTGTTCCCCAGGTAGATGAATTCGGTTCTGCAGACACACTCTGGGTCAGGCCTGGCCTGCAGCCGCCCGCTCCCCCTCCTCCCTGGCTGAGCAGTGGGGGGCGGGGGGGGGGGAGCCAGGCACTCACAGGATGAGCATGGACATGGGCACCATGACGCTGAGTAGAATGAGGAAGCCCCAGAAGGTGAAGAAGGACTCGGTGGTCACACTGTACGTGAGCTTCTCAGACACGTAGTAGTGCTTGGCCTTGAACTCCTTCACCTTGTCCCAGGAGCCCAAGGTCAACGCCGCAGAGATCAGCACCAGAGACAGGAAGATCTGCTCAGCAAACAGGAGATGGTGGGGCCTGTGGAGGGACCCAGGGCAGCACCGAGACACCCCAGCCACTAGCCAACAGGGGCACAGCCAGAGTGAAAGACAAATAGGAAACGAGACGCCCCCACCCCAAGTTCTGCCATCAGGATGAGGGAGTGAGGCTGGGGGAGGAGGCTGACAGTCCCGGGGAGAGATGGGTTTTTGTGACTGTTTTTTTTTTAAATTATATTACAACAATTTTTAAAATGATAAAGTTGAGGCCTGGCTGGCGTGGTTCAGTGGTTAGAGGGTTGGCCCGGGCACTGAAGAGTCTCGGGTTTGATTCCCAGTCAAGAGCACGCACCTGGATTGCAGGTTCAATCCCCACCTTGGTCAGGGTGTGAGGCCTTGTTGGAGGCAACCAGATCTCACATGATCTCTCTCTCTCTCCCTCTCCCCCCCCTTCTCCCTCCTTCCCTCTCTCTCCCCTCCTCCCTCTCTTCCTTCCTTCCTCCCTCTCTCCCTCCCTCCCTTCCACTCTCTCTAAAAAGCAATGGAAGACCTCAGTGGTTGAGCATTGATCCATGAATGTGTGATTCCTGGTCAGGGCACATGCCTGGGGTTGCAGGCTCAATCCCCAGTGCAGGAGGCAGCCAATTAATGATTCTCTCTCATCATTGATGTTTCTATCTCTCTCTCCCTCTCTCTTCCTCTCTGAAATCAATAAAAATATATTTTAAAAAAATAAAGATAAAATTGATTAGGCAAAGAGTCAAGAATTCCTATATAATAAAGAGGTAATTTGCAAATTGACCACAATTCCTACACACAAGATGGCTGCCCCCATGTGGTCAAAGATGGCTGGCAGGGGAGCAGTTAGGTGTTGATCAGGCTGGCAGGGGAGTGGTTAGGGGGTGATCAGGCTGGCAGGCAGGCAAGCAATTGGGAGCCAGCAGTCCAGATTAGAGAGGGTGCAGGCTGGGCTGAGGGACACACACACACACACACACACACATATGTGCACGAATTTTGTGCACTGGGCCTCTAGTTGTTAAATAAATGTCCATGGAGGGTAGGTGAGCATTTCATTATCTCCTGTGGATTTGGGAAAAATGTCAGGATCAGCATTTATTTTATAAAGACATTTTTTTACGTAGCCTGATTCTAAGAAGAGTCTTTGGCCCCAGACCTATCTGTAGGATCAGGCTGCACATTTTGCAGAGGCTGGAAACTGAGGCCTGAAAAAGTGACAGCCAGGGCTCTGTCATTGAGGACCTTTCCCTTCCCTCTTCTGTGTACTCCCAACCCCCGGCTGGGCTCAGGGCGCTCACCAGGACCACCAGCCTGTTCATCAGACGGTCTATCTTGGTTCTCTTCAGATGGATTTTGCCACGGTTCCTCATGATCTTCGTGTCTAAACCTGCAGGGTTTGCATCCATCTGTCTGTCCATCCATACATCCATTCATTCACACATCCACACATACATCTATCTGTCTGTCCATCTACTCACTCTTCCATCCATCCATCCATCCATCCATCCATCCCATCTTCCCTCGCTTTGTCACCCCCCCCCCACTCATCTATTCACCTGCCCAGCCACCCAGCCATCTACATACAGGCACCCCCCTTTTCCCAGCCGAGTAACAAGGGTGCTGGCTCAGCATGCACATTTCCACCGTTTTAGAGCCCAGGCCCCATAGAAGCCGTGTCCGGATCCCCACAGCTTACGGTGGCAGCCACACCGCAGCCAGGCCTGGCCTTGTGGGTTCTTGCCAACAACGTCAGGGTTCCCACCCACCCCACGGGGAAAGCTCCTGCCGCGGGGCCCGGATCGGCCGTACCGGCATAGACGACCAGTCCGTAGCAGGCGTCTGTGTTCCGGATCCTGCAGCCGCGAAGGAGGAGATGGCCGCTGTCCAGGGGATATTCCTCGCCCTCCCACTTCAGGCAGCCCAGGAAGTGGTACATCTGACTGTTGGGTTCCTCACACACCACCGTGCCTGAGGGCGACGGGGCAATCAGGGAGCCGAGGGCATGGCTGGGTCAGGGCACCCCTCTCCGAAGCAGGGCGGGGGCGGGACAGGGGGTGGGGGACATTCTGTCACCTTCTGGCTCTAGCAACTCCAAGGGCCCTGCACTGCCCCAAACTGCCCCCCTGGCACCTCCACCCCCTTGCCATACAGCTTCCTCCTGGTGTGTCCTCCCCCACACACACACACACACAGGTCCAAAGCTGGCTCTGCTCAGCCTCAGGGGTCTCGTGCCTGCTCTTCCTATGCCAGGACACACCCCTCCTCAGGGAAACCCGCTCTGATGCTCCATCCAGATCAGCTCCCCCACCCGACCCGAGTCCCCTTCCTCCCGGTTAAAATCCTGGGAGGTCAGAGACATCTATTCCTGCCGTGGAGTCATGAATCCCTGTGGGTGCTGTGAGAGGGGGTGCCAGCCCCATCTTCTGCATGCTGGGGACCCTGGGCCCAGCCAGCACCGGGCACACAGTGCCTGGCCTCCGTGTGAGCCAGGCTTTTCCTCAGATGCCATGAAAAAAATGCAACTGATGCTTGAATGCCAAGAGCCTAAGGGCTGTGTGAGAGAGGAAGAGTCTGCTCTAGGACCCATTTGATTAACTTGTCTTTGCAATAAGACAGGGGGAAAAAAAAGAAAAGTGAACCCCCTTGCTGGGCTCTGCCAAGCTTTACCCACAGTCTCACTTTCCAGGTGGAAAATAAGAAGTTGCAATGGATCCCTGTCTCTGTGCACAAACACATTTGCTTTAATGTTTTTTAATCACGTTTTAAAAATAAAATGCAAATCCTGATCCAATGGTGCAGCATGTTTTCTAACGATAACACCAAACGCTCGACTGTTGCACGGATTTAAAGGACATGAAACAGGCCTGGGATGAGCTGGCCTGTTAAAAGCTACCGTGTGCCCAGTGGTTAGCGTGTCGGCCTGCACATTGAAGGGTTGCAGGTTGATCCCTGGTCAGGTGTGTGCGGGGGAGAGGGGGGGGACCAATTGATGTGTCTCTCTCACATCATTGTCTCTCTCTCTCTCTCTCCCCTCCCTCCCTCCTTTCCATTATCTCTAAAAATCAATGGGAAAAATATCCTCAGGTGAGGATTAACAAAAACTATTTCGACCCGGACACCCCCGGTAGACCCCATCACCATCCCCGAAGACCCAGTGAAACGGGGAATTCCATGCCGGCCGCACAGAGGGGCGGACCAAGGCCCAGCCTCTCACCTTGGAAGGAAGCCATCTTCCTCTCGCTGGTCAGCGCCTGGTGCGTGACCGCCGGGGCCTGCCTGAACTTCAAGTTGGTCTCCCTGGCGAGGAGAAGAGGAGGGAGGTGAGAGGGGGGGACAGTCAGCACCCAGGCAAGGCACCCAGCCCCTTCCAGAGGCACTCAGAGGTCCTCACGGAGCCCCGGTCAGGAGGCGGAGGCCAGAGAGGAGGGCCGGCCCAGTCCACGCAGGACGTTTGTGAACGGCTCCGGCCGGGCCCAGGCCGGCTCGGGGTTGGACGCCGCACCTGAAGCACAGGGGCGGCCTCCAGAAACATGGGTGCCAAGAAGGTGGGTCCCTGTCTCTGATTGGCTGACTGCCCCTGCCACTGGCAGGTCCCCCCCAAATGCCCCCGTGGGCCGGGGACCACGCTGTGTGGCCACGGGGAAGGCCCGGTGGCCCAGCCCCCGGCCCCTGGTGAGGCCAGGGCTCACCCGTCGATGTCTGCGGTCTCCACGTAGCACAAGCTGCTGGGCTCCGTGCTGGCCAGCAAGAGCACGTCGGCCTGGGGGGGAGGATGGGGAGAGAGGAAGAAAACAGCGCTGAGAGGGGCGTGGGCTGGAGAAAGACCAGCAGGGAGGCAGCCCTCTCCAGAGCGAGCGCTCTGAGCCACTCACACTGGCTCACACCCGCTCACACCGGCTCACACCGGCTCACACCGGCTCACACCCGCTCACACCCGCTCACACCCGCTCACACCGGCTCACACCGGCTCACACCGGCTCACACCCGCTCACACCCGCTCACACCCGCTCACACCGGCTCACACCCACTCACACCGGCTCACACCGGCTCACACCCGCTCACACCCGCTCACACCCGCTCACACCGGCTCACACCCGCTCACACCGGCTCACACCCGCTCACACCCGCTCACACCGGCTCACACCTGCTCACCGGGACAACGTTGTCTCTGTGCAGAAAGACCAGGTCCCCCACGCACAGGTCCTTCCATTGTCTCCACAGAAAGCTGCGGGGGCGGGGGGGCAGCGGGTGTGAGGGGGGCCCAGCCTGCCCTCTCTTTGGAACCCTTAACCCTTGCCCCACCCCCAACCTGGAAGAACAGCGGGGGCAGGGGCTGCTGCCGCCCCTCTGGTGCTTTTCTTCCCGCCTGCTGCCGGCAGGTCTTTGTGGGGGACCCTCAGCCCACAGGGGAGTCCTGCCTTCCCTAACCCGCCTCCGCCACCCCCTCCAGCATCCAGGTCCCCTTCAGAGCCTTCAGCGGAACCCTCCGCCCTGCAGGGGTTCCCACTCAGGTCCCAGCCTCTGTCCCCACCACAGGGCCCAGCTCTGAGCTGTAGACAGCAGGCTGGGTCCCTGCAGACATCACACTCCGCCAGGATGCCTGGGGGCACGGAAGCTTCTGGGCACTCTGCTGGGCACCCCTCCCTGATATGCCCCCTCCCCTCTGCTGTGCGGGGTCCCTGTCCTCAGGATGCTCTCGGGAGCGGCCTCACCTGCCCCCCACCAGCACCTGGCAGGGCCTGTTGTTGATGGTCCTGTCGCTCCTGCGTCGGCCCTGAGTCCACGGGGAGGGTCAGGAGTGTGGCCTTGCCCTGCCCTGCCCCCGCCCCGGGTGATCCCGCCCCCGGCCATGCCTTGTGCCGCCCCACACCACCCTGGGGAGGGGGAAGGTGCAGAGCACAGTTCCAGCTCACAGGCGGCCCCGACAGTGAGCCAGGCCAGCCACACCTGTCCGGGGACGCCGATGGAAGGAGGGGGGCTGCTGGGACCACTGCTACGGACAGAGGAGGAAGGCACGGTCCCCCTATTACCCAGCGTGGCACCAAGGGCCAAAGAGCAACGGGACACCTGTCCCTGCAAGACAAGGACCACACCTGCCCCCAGCCCCCTCCCCAGCTGACCCCGGGCCCCACTTACAATGTCATCTGCCAGGTCTCGGGCGGCCCGGATGAGGAGGAGGCAGACGAACGGGGCGAAGAGGGTGAACCAGGGCAGGGTGGAGATCTCGGGGATGCCCTGGCACAGAGGTTGGGTCATGCCGGGAAGGTCATACTGAACCACCATCCCAAATGCGGCCCCAAGCCGCCTCCCCTGCCCCTACCCAGCCTCTCAACCGGGCATCCTGTGTCCCGGCGGCCAGCCCCCTGGGTTCCGGGCTGGCCACCGCCCCTACACATCCTGGGACACCTGCCCCTCTGTGTCCTGGTCTCCCTCCCAGGCCCGGCCCCCAGGTCACAGCCTCCAGGAAGCCCCACCAGCCCCACGTTTGTTCCCTCCCCGGAGCCTCGGCCTTACTGTTTCCCGCCCTGTAACCCCGTTCCTCCCAGTCACCCTTCAGGCCTGAGCTCCAGGCGAACCCCAGACCAGCCTGGGTTGGGGTGTGGGTCCGCTTTCCATCACTGGTCCCCTCCGTGTGATTTAATGGCAGAGGGTGTCAGGGCCACCGTCGCGGTCTAGCGCAGGGCCTGCCCGCACACAGCGTGTTTATTGCGCAGAGGGGGTCGGAACAATGAGAGCTGAGTGGGGTCAGGGCGTCTGGGAGCTGCCCGCTCCCGGACAGAGGGAGCTGCCCAGGTGGGACAGCTGCCCGCCTGGCAGGGCCGCCCAGGCGCTGGGAAGTGGCCCCGCGGTCCTGAGAACTGCTCTCAACCCTGCTTTCCTCCTCACCCTTTGGGGTCAGCTCCGTGGGCTGAGGCCAAGAGGGTCACGTGGCCAAGGCTGTCCATCCTGGGGAGGAGCAGTGCCCTCCTTGGACCCAGAGGAGCACTCATGCACCTTCCTCATTGAACAGCATTGAGAGCATCTTCTGTGCACCAGGCCCTGGCCAGAGCAGCTGAGACTCAGCTATGAGGGTGCTCCCAGCGAGTGAGGGGCCAGACACTGACCCTCCTCCCAGTTGCACACACACACACACTTGAACCTCCATGGGTCTACAGAGCCCTGTGGCAAAGCCGGTCAAGGAGGGCTTCCTGGAGGAGGCAGTGGGAGTGACGGGAGGAATGGTACGGGCTCAGGCGCTTGTGCTGACCCCGGGAGCCTCCCCTGCCCGGCCCCACCTGGAGGATGATGATGAAGAGGAAGTAGAGGTTGGACGTTCGGTGGAACTGCTCGTACAGGGTGAAGGGCAGGAAGGAGAAGAAGTTGTACTTGGCCGTGTGGATGACGTTGCCCTGGAATGAGAGCCAGCCCACCTTAGCCTCACCCTGCCCTTTGACCACAATCAGCAATAATTCAACCGGTGCCTGGAAAGCCTCGAGCCAGTGTGAACCATCTGCCGTGAGCCAGCTCTGCTGAGCGCCTGCTGAACGCAAAGCCTTCAGAACAGCGTTACTGAGCGCCAGCTGAATGCAGAGCCTGGAGCCATCAGTAATGGAGCCCCTACCGAATGCAAAGATTCGTCAAGTAGGGCTGTGACCCCACTATTTCCCGAAGTCTGTAATTTGAAGATTTCATATTTTCTTTTTCTTTTCTTTCTTTGTTTGTTTGGTTTTTAATATGTTTTTATTGATTTCACAGAGGGAGATAGAAACATCAATGATGATAAAGAATCATTGTTCTGCCAAAACCGGTTTGGCTCAGTGGATAGCGTCGGTCTGCGGACTGAGGGGTCCCAGGTTCGATTCCAGTCAAGGGCATGTACATTGGTTGCAGGCACATCCCCAGTGGGGGGGGTGCAGGAGGCAGCTGATCGATGATTCTCTCTCATCGATGTTTCAGGCTATCTATCCCTCTCCCTTCCTCTCTGTGAAAAATCAATAAAATATATTTTAAAAAATAAAAATTAAAATTAAAAAAAGAATCATTGATCGGCTGCCTCCTGCACACCAGGGCATGTGCCCTGACCCGGAATCGAACCATGACCTCCTGGTTCACAATTGGATATTCATCCACTGAGCCAGCCGGCTGGGCGGCATTTCCCTGCTTTCAGGTGAACTGGGGTAGGGCTAAGGACACAGTGGAAGCTCCAGCACCAAACTGGTGATCCATTCGTGATTAAAATCCGGTGTGTGCGGGAGAGTAGGCTGGTTGGGAGGAGGCAACAGAGGGCGGCGGGGCTGGGGCCACCCACCTTGTACTTCTTCTTCCGCCAGCACAGGAAGACATTCTCCTTGAACTGGTTGTTGTAGGCCCGGCTATTGGCCCTCACCTCCCAGGTGAACGCTGAAGCCGGAGAGAGCAGGGAGTTGCGTGGGGAGCGGGGAACGCTGCCTGAGGATCCCCCGGAGGAGGTCTAATGGCCCCCAGGGGAGCGCCATGGATGTGGAGCTGGTAAACAAACACCACCTGGGCCAGTCCCTGGGCTGACGGGCCCTGGGAGATCCGCTCCTGCCCCTCCTTCCACAGAGAGGGGCAAACAGGCCCGGCCCGGCTCCGAGAGGAGGCCCCTCACCCAGCCTGAGTCTCCCATTCAGTCATGGGTCTTAGGACTATTTGTAACCCAATGAGAACTCCATGCTGGGCCTGTTGAATGGACTGGGTGCGGGGGGGGGGGGGGGGGGCAGGTCTCCTCATCCCCATGTTTCAGCCACTGTACTCCCCAATGCCCCTTAGCTTACTCTACAGACCCCACACCCCACAGTGGACCCCAAAACATGCACCTGAGTTCTCCTCCTCCTCAGCGTCCTTGCCGAAAGCCAGGCTGCCCATGCCGGTGGGCTGTCCAGAGAGGGCGCGAGGTCACACCAGTTGCTCAGCTCTTGCCACACACTGTCCATTACCCTGCCTTTTCCAAAAAGTCACCTCCCACTTCCATCGGTTGGCACCTTCCCGGCTCTGAAGGTCCAGCCGATGTGTGTGTGTCCCTCCCTGAATATCCGGGGCCTCCACTGATCCCCATGTCCACCTGCACCAGCCCCATGCCCACCAGTCCCTCCAGTGACCAGGCTGAAGTTGCCTTGGCTTCCATTACAGAAGGTCTCCAGAATGGATTCTATACCTCTGGCTGCTGCTGCCCACCCAGGTCCATGCTCTGGCCAGCCCACCACTGCCTCTCCTGGGATGGCCACACCCACCTCCCCCTGGGTCTCCCTGCTGTCCCCTCTTAAGCCATTTCCACAAAGGACGTCATGCCCAGCCAAGGGAGGGGCTCCACTAGTGTTTGTTGACTGATTACGTGGGCCCGAGAGTTAGCCATTGATTGCTAAGCTTGTATAAAGGGCCGGGATGCTCTGAGAGGTCTCAGCGTGGTCTCAGGGCAGTGAACTGTGGTGGAGGCAGACCCCAGAACCTTCCCACAGGCTCTCTTTCACCGTCTTCCCGTCAGTGCCGGGAATCTCTCACCAGAGGGCCCTCCGCAGCTCTCCCTCCGCCCCGCCCCCGGGGGCATCCCTCCCGCAGGCTCCGGCACTGCCCCCTCACCCTTCTGGCCTCTGTTCACAGTGCTCAGACAGGCCGGACTTCCTGAGGCAACTTCTCTGGGCTCCCCCTCTGCCTGGGGTGCCCCCCATCCCAGATCTCTCACCTTCTCTCCTCTGCTGCTTTCCCTTTTAGGTCAGGATGGCTGGTGTCTGAGTCACAGGTTTCCCTGGAGCCGTGAGGAGACCAGGCTCAGGGCCGGCTCTAAAGCTCCTGGGAGCCTGAGCTGTGCCTCGTCTATTCCCCAGATGAGAAGTGAGGTTCAGGCGGGGGGACCTGGAGCCTAGGGAGACTCCGTGCAGGAAAGGGCGCCCTGGAGATGTTCTGGGAAGGCCAGAATTCACCCAAAAACGTATCTGGGGTAGGAAGACGTCCTAGTGCTTGCCCCCTCCTCATTTCCACTCAGCTCACCCAAGCACCCCATTGGCCATCCCTCCTCCCCCCTCCCCTACCCCTCCCACACACATACATAAGGAAGCCTCAAGGCCCTGGGCCTCCCTGAGATGGAGACTCCTTATACAAACAAGAGTCCACATCCCCTCTGGAAGGTGGGACAAGAGAAGTCAGGGCAGGGCCTACAGGGAGGGCCCGGTAGGGGCGAGGTAGGGTGGGTCCCACGGGGGGGACCAGGGCAGAAGCAGAGCCTGGGATCATCTCTGGAGTGGTGCCAGCCTAGGGGTGTTGCCCTGGATAAGGGGCTGCAGTGGGTCAGTGGGTGGGATCTTGCACTAATGGAAAGAGGGGGTGTCTTTACTGACATTTTTTATTTTTTAAAATATATTTTATTGATTTTTCACAGAGAGGAAAGGAGAGGGACTGAGTTAGAAACATCAATCAGCTGCCTCCTGCACACTCCCTATTGGGGATGTGCCTGCAACCAAGGTGCATGCCCTTGGCCAGAATCGAACCTGGGACCCTTGAGTTTGAAGGCTGATGCTCTATCCACTGAGCCAAACCAGTCAGGGCTTTATTGACATTTTTAGAGAGAAGAAGGGAGAGAGAAATATCAGTTTGTTGTTCCACTTATTTATGCATTCATTGATTGTTTCTTACGTGTGCCCTGACCGGGGACTGAACCCACAACCTTAGCATATCCAGATGATGCTCTGACCAACTGAACTACCAAGCTAGAGCGATGAGGAGTTCTTAACGGCACTAGAGTGTTCAGGGGCCTATCATTTAGGGGCGGGACCTTGTAAAGCTGGGCCAGAGTAAAGGGGATTGGAGATGGCGAGGTTCCCAGGGCAGTCTGGGGCTAGAAGTGGAGGAGGGACACACGGATAGGTGGTAACTGCAGGTTTTCACCCCTCCTAGGCCAGGGCACAATCTTGGGCCGGGGAAGGCTGTCAGAGACACCGTGACCATCCTAATGCCAGGAGGAAACCCACAGAGCTCTGTCCTGGTGTGCATCCACTCAGGGTGGCCGCGGCTCTGGGGGGCCTTCCTAAAGGAGGTGATGGGGGGGGGGGGAGACGCGGGGGAAACCTCGGTCGGAGATGGAGAACTAGAGCCGAGGTAAAAGGTGTGTGGAATAGGTTCCTAAAGTTAGGGTCCCCTTGGGAGTTGGGACTCAGGGGGAGGGACAAACGGGCACAGGGGAGATGATAAAGCTCCATGTTTCATCAGTTTCACTCTTAGGAGCCCCTCAAATGCAGAAATTTGGAGGGCAGTGGGCTCTGGGCACTTCACCCCGTCCTGACCCCAATGGTGGTGCCTGTGCACCTGGGGCTCAGGCCCCGAGGCACCAGCGTCACCTCTGAGCAGATGCCGGGTGATCCCACCTTCCCCATGAGAGCAGCCACCTTTCAATCACAGCAGGAGCTGGGGCTGCATGTCCTGCTTGGCCTCTGGGGGTGCCAAGTAAACCTCTCCTTTCACTCACTCACCCACCCTGCCCTCCCCAGTGGCTAATGAGAAAGACCTCGGGAAAGGAGCTTAGGACGGACCTTGCTGGGTGCAGCTGCGAGGAGTCAGGGGACCGGTTCCCCTCCCTGGGACAGTAACGGCAGGGAGAGGAGCTTCCTGAGCAGTGAGAAACCTGCTTCAGCCTCCAAGAGCCAACAGGTTTAGCAAGCTGAGAGCTTGCATGCCTCCTGAGCTGGGGAGCTGGGAGGGGTACAGACACCACACAGAAACGGGTTTCTGTAAAGCCACTGGCACCACCAGGTTAGAAAACTCTTGTTTACAGAAGAGGAGGATGAAGTCAACTGGTTACCACCGAGCCCCCGAGGGATGTGACAGCGGCAGGGCCTGACTGGCCAAGCCCTGCACCTTCCAGGCACCGGGACCGAGAGGGGAGCCGGCCCGGGAAGCCCTCGGAGGGGGTGCTATGTCCTCGGCACAGGGCTGCCCTCCTGGCCTTCACCGAAAGCCAGGGGCCGGTGGCAGGGCCACCTGGCAGCCTTCTTCCCAGCACCTTTCTGCTCCCACATCAGGCCCTGGCATTCCCAGCATCTCTTGTGTCACAAGGCTTTTTCTGGCTTCACTTTTCACTTTGAATAAATTAAAAGCAGAATTTTGAACAGTCTGGCCTTCCCACCCCCACAAGACACAGGAGGGTAGATTCAGGGCACTGCGCACACGTTCCTGGGGATTGGCAATGGTGCCCCTCTCCATGCCGTTTCTGACATCCAGCCCTCACAGGACTTGCCTGGAAGCACGACAGGCCCCAATGATAGCCAGGAGGTTTCTCTGCTCGGGAAATACTTTACCCCCTGGGCAGGGGCAGCCGAGGAACCAGAGCTGGCTTTCCCGCCCCTCCACTGGGCAGGTCCTGGCCGTGGGGACAAGGGCCTCCACGGAGTCACACCTGGCGCCAGGAACACCACTGGACCCCACGGCAAGTAAAATTCATACAAACGTTTATTCTGTCCCTGCCTGGCGGCTGAGGCATTGGGGAGGGGCCGTGGGCCTGGAGGGCGGGACTCGGACGGGAAGTGTTCAGAGGCCGGAGCCCTGAGGGCTGGCTCAGTTCCTGGAGGTCGAGGAGTCCCGGTGGTTGAGGGGGACCAATTCCCACCCAGCCAGGCCCAGGCTGGGCGGCCTCTGGGGCCCTGGTGCCTGCGGCAGCACCAGCTGATTGCCCCCCCCCCCCCAGGAAGGAAAGCAGCACCAGGGTCTTGCTCCTCCAGGTGGGGGGAAGACAACTTTGCAAGTCATCAGGTTTAAATAAAAATAATAAAAATAACATACAAAATAAACAAAGACAACCCCTGTCCAAACAAGCCCATGACAAGACTACCTGGCCCACTGGACACTGCAGGTGAGGGGAGAGGACAGGTGGTCCGTCTACAGGGTCACTGCCAGGGATACCAGCAGGGCCCGACGGGTGGTCCGGCCTCCACTGTCAGCAGCAGCAGACCCCAGAAAAGAGCAATCTGGGGCGGACGCAGGGCAGGCACACGGGCTACCCAGGGCCTGGGCTCCTGGTGGGTCCGAGCTGGGTCTGGGTGCCATGTGGCTCCTCCTGTGCGCTCCACTTTGCATCTTGGTGATGGGGACAGGGTTAGCTCTCGAGATTTATTGCACTGTTTTGGAAGAGGCCTGGGGCTAGAGGATGTGCCAGGGGCAGTGGGAAGCAGGAGCAGGAGGGCGGGCGGAGGGCGGGCGGCAGTCACCGCTTGGTCTTGGCATCTTCTCGAATCTTCCAGATCACCAGGTGCATGCAGGCGCTGGCATCCTCGCTGGAGCTGTGCCCGTCCACTGTGGGGTGGGGGTGGGGGCAGGTCAGAATGAGCCAGCTGGGCCCCACGGAGCTCCCACCAACCCCCTCCAGCCCGCCCCGCCCGCCGCTCACCATTGTCCTGGATGATCTGTCTGAGGTAGTCGGCCATGAGATTCCGAAGGGAGCGCTTGTAGGGGAGGCCCAGGCGGTGCGGGAAGAGCACAGACGTGTCCACCACGGTGCTGTGGATGACCTGTGGACAGCAAGCTGTCAGGGGCTGCAGCGCCCAGGGCCCCGGAGGGCTGGGCTGCAAAGGATTCCACAGTGTCTGTCTGGTTCCTGACCCACAGCCCGCCCGCCCTCTGAGCGCAGAGCCTGGGGCCAGGATACCTTCAAGGCCAGCAGGTCACTCTCCAGGCTGTGTCCGATGAGGATGGTATCAGCATTGAACATACTCAGCAAGACGGCCTGGACATCCCGGAGCGAGATACTTGTGTCGGCAAGGTCAGCCTCAGTCACGCCTGAAAACCTGGGGCAGGAGGGGCAGGGACCTTAAGGTGGCTGGGAGGGCACCAGGGGTCCCCAACCTAGAAGCTGGGTTAAGGTCAGGGAGACTGGATCCTAGTGGGGTTACCCCCCTGGGACCCAAAGCCCTGGAGGGTCAAGCCATACCTTGTGTTGTAGTCCACAATCTCATTGTCCGGCTTGACGAAGGTGTCGTAAACAACCTGCATGTCAGTGTCCACCACGGTGACCCGTGTCAGCTCCAGGCCATACGTGGTATAGGACTGCAAGCAGAGGACACTGGTCAGACACGCCCCAAGCCCACCTTCATCCCCAGGCACCCGGCCAGACAGCCCAGCCCAGCGCTCACAACCCAGGCTTCCTGGTTCCTGAGCCTGCAGCAGAGGAGCCGGCCCCAGGCCAGAGGGCCTTCTGGGGCCTGTCTAGGGGTCAGAGCAGGTGTGAACCAGGAGCCTGTCTCAGAATCGGCATTGTATGCACGAATCTGCACATCTGAGTGCAGAGGGCTGTCCAGAGCGTGTGGTGCGCGCTGGGGTCAGGTAAGAGCATCTACTTGGTAACGGAGCAGATGCTGGTAAGGCTGTGAGTGAGCCTTCGAGTTCCAGACACAGCGTGACCCACAGGGAGGAGGACCTAATTATTGTTCACAGCTCTTCATCTGCTCCTTAATCTAAAATCTGCACTGGCCCAAAGCTTCAGGCAGAGATGACGGGACAGCAAGACCCCTGCACCCTTCTAAGGGCCATGAGTCCTTAGCAAGGGCCTGTGGTCAGCCAGACGACTCACCATTTCACAGTCAAGGGCATAGATTCCGGGGTGAGCATCTTCTGGAAGCTCCTTATCAAAGGTCTTCATGAACCCCTCAAGGTTTTCCTTGCGGCCGTCCTGCACGTGTTGCTAAGGGGAGGAATGAGAGTGGGAGGCTCAGGGTGGGAAGAAAAGCCAACGAGGCCGAGTTCTTGGGGCCAGGCCTGCGTGTGGACTGAACTTCCCTTTCCCAGGCAGACGAGCCAAAGCACGGAAGAGGGCAGAGGAAGGTAGCCTGCCCCACCGGGATGGGGTGGGGACTCCCGAAAGGAAGTGTCAGGCAGGGCCCGGCAGTCCTACCTTGGCAACCTGGCAGCCAGTGGAGCCGATGGCAGCTGAGCAGCACATGTACTGAGTCTCCCAGCCCCCAGCCACTGGAAGAGACGGAGGTCAGTGGCAGTGCCCACGCCTCCCGGAGGCAGTTGCCGACACCCGTTTGCCTGAGCTGCAGGGCTTCCCAGGAGAGCGGACCCCAGCCCGTGAGGCCAAGGGTTCCAGCCCTACTCCTGGGGCAGCAGGCTCTACGGGGGAGGATTTGGGGTAGGCACAGCCTCTCACCCCGCAGGGGCCCCTCCTCAGATTGGCAATGAGCACCCATGCGGTGTGGGTCCCCTGGGGCATGACTAAGGGAATGCTGGGCCCCGGAGAACCCTCCACGAGCCCCCAGAGGGGGGTCTGCAGGCAGCCTCAGACACTCCAGGCCCTTGCGGCCCTGCGGGTAAGAACCCAGTAACACTGGCCATTAAGTGAAACCAGCTGCGGGACAGGACAAACCTTTTGTTCCCAAACGCCCACGTATTTCTACAAGCGCCTATGTATCAAGAAAGGGCAAGGGGGCGACGAGGCTGTGGGAGGCCTTCTTTTATCTGTGCCTAAATGTGGCAGAAAGGCCTTTACATTACTCTTGTCATAAAGTACAAGAAGGAAACTGAAAGGGTTTGAGGCGGTCAGAAGGGCGGGCGCCGAGGCGGGACCTCACCTCGGTTCCGGCGGAGCCGCCCCCAATGGTAGTAACATTCTTCATCACGCACACAGCGGCCCGAAGGGGACACGAGGTACTCAGTGCCACAGCGGCAGCAGACCCTGCACGAGGCTGTGGGTGCAGAGAGGTGGACAGGAGGGAGGGAGGGAGGGAGGGAGGGGTCAGGCCAGCCCCCGTGGCCTGAACCTCTGCACTCGATCTTAGCCAAAAGGCCGAGAAGCGATGGCCATGCTTTTCCCTCTGCCCTGTGTGCCCGCCCAGAAGCAGTGGCAAGAGACAACTCACCGTCCTTGGGCAGCTTCTCCTCAGCGGTGAAGATGACCGCGCCCCCCGGCCGCTTGGGGTGCGGGAAGGGGTAGCCGTTCTCCTTGAGCTGGTCCTCGGTGAGCAGGTACTCTTTGAGGCGGTTGTACAGGGCGGCCCCTGCAGGTGACCGAGGACACAATCAGCCCACAGGAGGCTAGGGACAGCCAAGGGTGAGGCAGCGGGTGGAGGGAGGGTGGCGGTGGGGGCAGGCACGGGCCCCAGGCTCTGGAGGAGCCAGGTTTACCTTTCAGGTCCTCCACACGGGGGCTGCTCGCGCGGCTGAGTGAGAAGCTGGTCTTGGCCGCCAACTTGCCCCCCAGCACCGCCTCATGGGACACAACCCTCCGGCCACTTGTTTCTGGAAAGAGGTAGAGGAAGGGTAAACTAGGCTCGACTCCTGCATCCTTCCCAAGTGCTCCGCTGCTTCCTCTCCGTTTCCAGGACAGCTCCCTACCACCTAGAGAAAGAGAGGCCCGACCCCATGTACCCTGGGCCCAGCACCCACCCCCACATTAACTCAGGACCAGCAGGCCTTGTGCTGCCCGGAAGCCCCTCAGTTTTCCCTCCGGCTCCCCCTGGGTGGGGGCTTTCACCCTCCCAGGGAAAGACTTTAACAGGAGACATAATGGCCATTTCGAACAGGAGGTGTGGATGGGGGTGGGGAGGACAGCCGAGAACAGAGCAGGGAAGCACCCACTGATGGCTTAATGCGCCCTGGAGAGGCTTCGCGACGGCTCCCCGGGTTAATGCACAGCGCAGGCAGGCACAGAGCTTTGAAGAGGCAGCCCATTAGCAGGCGGGAGGCCTCGCTGGAGAGGACCCGCTTTCAGAGGAGCAGGGTGGTTAAGAGTGCGAAGAGGCTGTTCTGAGGGCGTGGGGCCAATGTCAGCTTAGAGGGAGCCTGACAGCGGGGGCCTGTTGTCTGAAAATCTTAGCGCTCCGAGCAGCAGAAAGGCCGCCGGGAGGGGCCCTACCACTGCAGGAGCCACGGGCCTGGACCTCCCAGATGCAGCACCTGAGCTGCCCACGCTGCCTAACTCACTGCTGAGGCCGGGCACGGTGCTGGGGACCAGGCCCCGCAGCTTCTTGAGGGTGTTCACCGCGACATTCAGGTAAATGTTCTTGCTGGGGCTTCGGTCGTAGGCCACCTTCTCCTCGTTCAGTGCCTGGAACACGACACCACTCAGTCCCGGACACCCCGACAGAGGGCCCAGCCCTTCCGCCCAGGACCTGGCCTGCACCCCCAGGTCACCCACCTTCTCTATGGCTTCCTGGTTGGAGGAGCAGAACTTGAGACACTCCTCAATGAACAGGTTGAGGTATCGTTGGCGGATGACGGTGGGAACTTTGCCCCCAAACTCTTTTGGGATAATAGGCTTCTTTAAACTCTGGAGGGAACATGGGCACAGTGAGCGTGGCACGCTTCTTGGAACCCCCTCCACACAGAGCAGAGCCTGCTGGAATCTGGGCCTTAGTGACCACAGGGGTCATCACGGTCTGGCGGATGCCAAGAGACGACCACACCAGTGTTGACAAGAGGGGGAGGGCTCACGGCAACTTTGTCTTCTCTCTCTTCTCAATGTTTCTGTGAACCAAAACTACTCTAAAAAGTGAGAGGCTGTGAATTAAAGAGAACACAAGGGAACAGGAAGACTGTGATGCTGGGTGCATCATGAGTGGGTGCCCTGGCTTCTGCGGGGAGAGGCAGTTACCTGTAAAGACGGGCTGTGTGCCACGCGCTTGGGGGTAACGGTGCTGGTGGTCTTGGATGCCATGCCTGACAGCGTGCGCGTCTTTAGGAGCTGGCTGCCCAGCTCGAGCCCATTAGGGGGCTGGCTGCTGCTGGCCGGGAGGGTCCTCTTGGTACCTGTGGAGGCTGGTGTGGGACAGGAGATGTGAGTGCAGGAAGACAGCGCACCCATCACCGAGCTGCAGAGCACTAGGCAGCTGCGATCATTCAGCATCAGCAGGATGTGCATCTCAGAGCACAGGGGGAAGAGCAAGGGATGGGAACAGGGGTTATGGAAGGACATCAGGTTCTATCTGTTTTTGGGCAAGTCCATCGAGAAGGGGGACACAAAAATGGGGCTGTGAAGACTGGCAGGGTGTTCCGGTGAGTGGCTGGGGGCATGGGGAGCCTCTGCCACATGTTCCGGCCCCTGACTCCAAAGCATTGACGTCTGAAAGAGGAAAGGCCTGGTTCCTGGACTGAGGACCAGAGGCTCTGGGACACCCCAGCCTGGTCATTGTGACCCAGCCGGCCTGTCTGCTGCTGCCTCTGTGTTCTCCTCTCCCTTTGATGAGGTCACAAACCAGACATCTCCCGCCCCAGGTCGGGCAGTGAGGCCAGGGAAGGTGCATCCCTGAGTGTATGGGCAAGGGGACCTCTGACCAGCTCTGAGCCTGGGCTCAGCCCTGATAAAGGAACAAGAGCAGATGAGGAGACCAAGGCACTGAATGGAGGCCCAGGTCCCTGGCTCCGGGGAATCCTACGCCAAGGTTGGCCTTATAGGCCACGTGGGGAAAGGAAGGAACATGCATTTAGCTTTTAGGCTCATGTAAATGTAGAATTTTCTGCAGTGCAAGTGCGTACCCCTAGGTGCGTCTCCCAAAACTCTAGGAAAACCCTCTAGGCTCAGCAGAGCCAGGTAGTGTCTAGGAATGCTGGCTGCCACAGTGGTGACTATGGATGGCTGAGTGCAAGTTTATGAAATTGTGCACACCTCAGAGTGCAATCTCTGTTCCCTAACACCTGTCACTGTCAAGTTCTAATTCAGGCGCTCTGGGGAGGAGGGATCAGAATCTGGGCATACCAGGGAAAACCAGGTACCTGCAGGACCACCGCCTGGAACCTGACTGCCCACTCAGCTGGCTACCCAAGGGGGTCTTTAAACCAGCACACATAAACACCCCACTGAGTGTGCGGCCCACTTTCAGACAGGGCCCAGTGGAGACGAGTGCCCCTCAGAGAAGAACAAGGAACAAACACAGCACCCAGCCCTCCCCCGGATCAGCTGGCTCCGTTCAGTTAGGGCCCGAGACCTTGGATTACATCCCCAGGCCAGCTCCCTCTTCCTAGCACCACTGTCTGGAGCCCAGTGCCCACATTCAGACCAGCCCCCACAGGCCTCCACTGCCCCAGAAACATGGGGGAGGCAGGGACACAAAGACCAGGCAAGGACAGAATGGGAGGCCCACAGGATGACCTCTGGGTCAGGGGCTTTGGAGGAAGGCGGGAGGCCAGTGCTGAGGAGGCTTGGGTCTGGAAGACAGACACCCCTCAGACTCTCCATAGCCAACCCCCCAATGCCAGGAGAGGCCCAGAGCCACTGGGCACTGCGCCAGGCCTGCCCAGCCTCCTGCTAACAGACAGGAGACTTTCTCCCATTTTATAGACAAGCACACTGAGGCCAGGCCAGACGCTACTCAAGGCCACCACTGCAGGTGCACTGGGAGCCTCGCCTCCCGAGGCCCTGCCCTGGACTCACCTGCAGCCAGGCAGGGGTTGGGGACGTGGGCAATCCTCCTCTTCTCTCCGGGAACTGAGATGTGGACGGAGGTCGGCTTCTCGGCCGGCGGCTGGGCAGCCTGGAGCCAGCTGGCTGACTCCCTCTGAGCCTGCTGAGCTCGCCGGTAACATACTTCCTGGGCAGTGGGGACCCGGGTGGGGGGGGCCGGGCCTCTCCTCACGGGCTCTGCCTGGATGACGAGAAATTCCAGAGCCCAGCTGTACGTGAGGGGCACCCAGAGCAGTCCGCCAGGGGCAACAGGCTGACGGCAGGGCCACTGGCAGGGAGGCAGGGGCTCCAGGGTAGGGGCTAGGCAAGGTGCACCCAACTCCACCTTCAGAGCTCGCAGATGCCCCGGAGGAAGCCAGCTCCACACTGTGGCTCTTTGGGCTGGAACACACATTGCTCCACTTCTGGGTGCCAGCATGGTCCCGTTCTCCTGGTCTCTGGTGTCCAAGAGCCTAGGCTGTGCCCTCCCCCCTGAATCTAGGCACTGGCAGTGGAAATCCCTGCCTCTGATAAGACTGGCACACTGAGCCAATCTTACTTGACTGATCTTCTCTGGACTAGCTTTCAGAATCCCAGGGCTCCTGGGATCAGATTAACACACTGATCCAATCCCACTTAATCAGATCTTCTCTGGACTGGCTTCTAGAATCCCAGGGCTCCCTCAGGACTGAATCAACAGGAGGGAGCTCCGAGTCCAGAGCGTGGGGCCCATCCTCTGCTCAGCCCTCCCTGTGCCAGGTCACTGAGTGCCCTACAGTGACCTGACAACCACTCCTGTCTCTGGGCCAAGGGGAGGAAGCCAAGGCTCAGAGAGGTTTGGCCACTTGCCCAAGATCACACAGCGCAATTCGGAGCAAGACAAGGACCAGGCACTGTGACCCTGTGGGAGGGCTCACCTGCATCTCTCTCCCCCTGCTCTGGACCCTGCTCCCCACAGCATGGAGCACAACTCCGATTGGAGGTGGGTTCCAGGCACTTCTCTGCCAGAACACAGGGAGTGTTGAACTGCGTCTGCCAGAGAAACCCATTGACCTTGTTCTGCAGACAGGAGAGCCTTTCGCTGGAGTCCTGCCAGCCGCCACCCAGAACCCAGTGCAGACCCTTACCTCCTTGCCTTGCTTGGTGAGATGAGAGATCCTCCTCTTCTGCCCAGGGAACAGAGTGGTCAGACCCAATTGTTCCTTGTCCTCCACCTTCTCTTCTTTGGGGGGCTGGAATACATGTCCATCACTCAATAAGGTTCTCTCCCTGGCCTCACTACCCACAGCTACAGTCAGCCTGGGAGTCAGGGTGTGATTCCCAGGCTAACACAGGGAGCAGGGTGGGAAGGGTGGGTCCTCACCCAGCCCCACCTTACAGCTCAGGAAACAGACTCAGTGCCTCCCGGCCAAGGACCCTGGCTGCCAGCCCAGTCCTCAGCAAACTTCCCGTGCCTCACGGGGGATGAGGTCTGCAGATATGCCCAGCAGACCAACTGCTTCCTGCTCCCCTCCCTCCTCCTCCCATCTGCCTGCTGACCCTGCCCAGGACAGGCTTCAGAAACCAAGGGGATGAAATCAGACGGCAACGGCTCAACGGGCTGTGAACAGGTCAGTGCTAAGGGAACAAGGAGCCGGAGGCCAGACCCTGAGGCCCGACACAGAAGCTGAAGGATTCTATGCAGGGGCTGATCCTATCCTGCTGTTTCGCCCGGCCGAATGGCTCAGTGGTTGAACAATGATCTATGAACCTGGAGGTCACAGTTTGACTCCCAGTCAGGGCATATGCTCGGATTGTGGGCTCAATCCCCAGTGTGGGGTGTGCAGAAGCCAGCCGATCAATGATTCTCTCTTATCACTAATGTTTCTATCTCTCTTCCCTCCTCTCTGAAATCAATGAAAACTATTTTTTAATAAATAAATAAATAAAATAAATAAAGCAAGCTCCCTCTGGTGGCTGACATGGGAACAAGGGATGAGGAGACCCAAACAGATTGGGGCTGGCAAAGGTTTGGGAGGGAGGGGAGAGAGAAGAGGGGAGAGGAAGAGAGGAGATAAGGATGAGAAGAGGTCAGGGAAAAGGGAGTCAGGGTAGAGGGGAGGAGAGAGAAAGTAGTGAAAGAAGAGAGAGGGACTGTAGGAAGAGGGGCTGGAAGGAGGAGGAAAGGGGCCAGGGAAGGGAGAAAGAAACTGGGAAGAGGGAAGAGGGGGTTGGCAGTGCCTGATACCCCACTGCCGGATGCTCTTAGATGCTGTCACAGAAGCCCCATCGGGTAAGCCAGGACTCTGCCAGAGGGCCATACGTCAGTGTTCTCTTTCTAGACGGGGATCAGGGGGACAGCCAGCAGCCACGAGGGTTCCTGAATTTTGGACGAGTTAAGAAGCCATCTCCACCTCTGCACTGAGACTCCAGTCACAGGGAGACTCTGAGGACAGAGTGCCAGCAGCCTTCCTGAGCCCGGCCCAGACCCTCACCTGCCGGGCCTTCCGGCCCCTGTCCTCCGTCTTGACACAGGTGGATTCGTTGAAAATGCGCAGGCACTCCTCCATGGGGTCAGAGTCAAAGTCAACCTCCTTCTCCAGGGCAGAGTAGTCCACATCTTTGCCTGCCCCCAAGGAGGACGAGGAGGAGGAGGACGAGGATGTGGAGGAGGATGACAAGAGGGAGGCTGGGCGAGGCGAGGGGTGAGGGGAGGCCTTGAGGCGCTTGCGTGGCCCCCGCGTGGCTGAGAGGTCCAGGCTAGAGTCCGAGTCCGAGTCCGAGCTGGAGCTGAGGCTGGAGAGGGCAGAGGGACCCAGTGCAGGCGCCGTGGGCCCTGGGTCCTCATCCTCACTCTCGTCCCCAAAGAGGTCTGCATGGCTCAGGGTCCGCCTCTGCAGCTTGGGGGCCTGGGAGGTGCCCTCGTCCAGCGAGTGGGCCTTCCGCTCCACCAGCTTCCCAGAAGGGCTTTTCCCACCCATCCTGCCTGGCAGCTGGGAGGCATCCCCGCCAGTGGGGCTGGGGCTTGGCTGCAGCCGAAGCTGGTCGGTCCGGCCTTTCCCTGAGCTGACCACCGAGGTGGCCAGAGATGGCTTTTTCTTGGTCCCTTGAGGCCTCTCTGCCCTGCGCTGGGAGGTGCTGGCCTGTGAGACCTTCTTGTCCACACAAGGCTTCACAGCTGGCCTCTTGTGCTCTCTGTCCTTACTCCTGTCTGTTCTCCGGACACCATCCTTAGGGCTAGGGGCCGGTGGCACCCCACTTTTCCTCTTCTTGGATCTTCCCTTCTTGTGGCTGCTGCCCTCTTTCGAGCTCCTGGCTGGGGAGGAGCCAGGCTTGGCCGGGCATGCCCCATCAGGGTCCTTGGGAGGCTGCCCAAGGTCCCCCACGTCATACTGCACAGCTATCTCTTTGGTCTCCCGAAGGCCGCCCTCCTCGGGCTCCTGGCCCTCCCTGGAGCCTGGCTTGCCAGGACCCTTGCTCTCGGCTCCCGCCTTCGCCCTCAGGGGGTTGGCAGTGGCTGGCCTGTCCCCCGGAGCTGCAGTAGTGTCATCATCTGAGTCAGAGAACCTGGCATCGCAGCCGCCAAAGGGGTCGCAGGGCTTCTTGGGCGCGGGTGTGTAGGGCTCGCTGTTGGCACGGGAGCCCCGGGGTCGCTTAGGGGCCCGGTGATCCTTGGAGCCGGCCCTGCTGAGCAGCCGAGCGGAGAAGTTGGACAGTGGGTCATACTCCAGGTCAGTGGACGGCTTGGAGTTATCCACTACATACTTGCTGCTGGAGACTGGGCGGCTGTACCTTCTGGGCTGGCTCACAGCCTTGGGGATGTACTCCAGAGCACCACTGCCCCCTCCGCCACGGCCCTGCGCTGGGTCCAGGGAAGCCAGCAAGTACTTGCTGCCCAGCTCAGTAGGAGCGGTCAGTGGGGTGGGCTGGTAGCTAGCATTGGGGCTTAACAGGCTTTGGCCACCAGGGTTGTAATCAAAGGACAGTGGGAAGGCATCCTCATCCAAGCTGGTGGCAGGGCCGTGGGGTGCCAGGGCTGGGACCTCAGCAGAGACGTGCTCTCGGGCTGTCTCCAGGAGCTCCTGGTACCGCCGCTGCTCTATCTCCACCTCAGAGCGCACGGCCTCGATGGCCTGGTTGACCAGCTCCAGCTCCAGGATGTCTGAGTGGGGCTCGTCCCCTCTGCCCAGGACGCCATTCTCCCTCTCTGCCGGGAGCTTGGGCAGCTCAGGGTTGTACGGGTCATAACCAAGCCCTGAAACAGGAAGAGGGAGGAAACAGTTGTGAGGGAGGCAGCAACCAGCCACTGCCTTGACCCAGGTAACTGGCCTTCCAGAACCTAGCAAGGGCCAGGTCCCAGCAGGCCTCTGTGCCCTCCATCCTTACTCCTGTCTGTTTTCCAAACACCATCCTTGGGGCCAAGGTCCCACATCATACTGCACAGCTCTCTCCTTGGAGGGCAGAGGGGCCCAGTCCAGAGCGCCCCTCCATCCAGGCCCTACCGTGCAGAGGCTGATAAGTGGGGGGAGCGGTATAGAACCCTGGCCCCAGAGACCGCTTTTTAACCTTTTAACCTTAGTTTTGGCTCTGGGACAAAAACTGGAAGGGGTGCAGACTTGACAGAGAAGATCCAGAAGCCAGGCGAGATGGTGATGAGATTCCTACACAGTAGCTACCCCCACACTGCTTCCTGCATCCGGGAGTTGGAAGAATGATGAAGGGGCCTGACATCCAGGTAGGTCGTAAGGCACGAAGACACTTGCAGGGTGGGATGGGAGTGGGTTCAGAGCTCCCTGACTCAGGGCTGAGGGTGGGAGGGGAGCAAAAACCAACAGGGTCTGAGGCATGCAAGACTCTCCCGCACGTCCCCCTGCAGGGCTGTGCCTGCACAGTGAGAAGACGGAAACCGCCACTAAGGAGCACTGTGACAAAGGACACCCACACACTTTCAATGGCAAACAAGAGGCAGAAGGCGATCAACGGGGTGATCCCAAGGGTGTAAAAAGGAAGAAGTACACGCTAGAGTTCAGCATGACCCCACGGCCAACAGTGTTGGCACAAACCTCAGGACTCACTCATCGACGGAGGTACAGACATCTTCAATGAAATAGGAGCAAATACAGCGCATTTCAAGAAAGGGGTAACGTACATATTCAAATATACCAATCTTCCATAAATATTCCAGAGTTGAAAGTGTTCCTCACTAGGAATTCTATCAGATACAATTCGCAAGCATCGCTAAAGAAAAAGCCAATGGAGTTGGTGTCCTGTGGTTGGAGAAAGACAACTGATTCTCCCAGAGCCAGCCCTGCCCAGACCTGGACTTAGATTGTGCGGCCGAGTGTGGACCGCCATAGCAGCCCCAGGAAACGCACGTAACCTCATTCAGGGAGAAGCCCATGTGGCTGGCTGCCCACAGGTGGCAAGCTTTGCAGGGGACAGTGGCTGGGCCTGGGCTGCCTTTGGGGAGGGGATGAGGGCGGAATTCGTTGTAGATGTGTAGTCTGGCCTTTGATTTGTGTTCTATTTTTGGAATTATATTCAAAAAGGTGAAAGGAGCCATGTACCTATGCTTCAGATGACGGAGGACATGCCAGGTTTGGGGGTGGGAGGTGGGAGGTGGGAGGGAAAAGGACACAGGACTAGATGCCAGTGACAGAACAAGTTCCAAAGTCCCAGGGCTCTCCGTGGGGGGAGTTCACAGGAGATTCACTTAGCACCTCCTTATCACAGTGAACGCTGGGGTGTAGGGATTTGGGGTTAAGACTCATAATCCTGCCCTGGCTGGTTTGGCTCAGTGGATAAAGCATCAGCCTGTGGATTGAAGGGTCACGGGTTCGATTCCAGTCAAGGGCATGAGTACGATTCCAGTCAAGGGCTCAATCCCCAATGGTGGGCGTGTAGGAGGCAGCCAATCAATGGTTCTCTCTTATCATTGATGTTTCTATATCTTTCTTCCTCTCCTTTCCTCTATGAAAAAAAAAAATGTATATTTAAAAAGAAAGAAGAAAAAGACAACCTTCTACTTCCAGTGAGGGCCAAGGTAAAGGGACCATCCTGAGGAAAGGCTAGAGCCCCCAGGAGTGGGATTAAAGCTGCCCTCCCAGCCACCCTAAACCCGGGATGGGTCCCTAAGCACCAATGGCAGACCCACCCCAGCCCAGCACCAACCGCATAAACAGACTGCAGCCAATGTACCCTTCCTTCCCCACGTCCTGGCGGCCGGCAGAGTGGAGGAGCCCAGGCCAAGGCCACCAGCCAAGAGCTGGGGTCACTTACTGGGCATTTCCACAGAGGGATCTGTCAGGTTGTGCTCGTCTCTGGGAGGGTCTCCAGCTCAGGTCACCTCGCTCCCTAACTTCCCTCCTTGTGGGGAATGGAAGCAAGAGCCCACGGAATGGGAAGTCCTTCCCTCCCAGGACAGGTTGGCAGCACCAATGGAGGGGGTCAGGACCCAAACAAAACCATTCCACAAAGGGTTCTCCCAGGTCAGGCCAGAATGCAGAGCCTGGGGATTTTCAGCCACTTTGGATTTCCCCCAAGGAACCTATGCTTTGGAAGCCAGGCAGAGGAGGCACTGTGCCTGGGAGCAGGGGAGAAGGATGGGGACCCTACAAAGTTCCTCAGACCATCTGGTCTCACTGGCTCAGCTGGACCCAAGGCAGAGCTCTGGCTTTCTCAATGGGAGCCTCTACTGGCATGTTTCCTAAGGGCCATTACACCTGCTCCACCCCCTCCTGTTTCCAGGAAGCCCATGAACTTGCTCGCAGGGTAGGAAGGGTAGCGCACTGGGCGGTCTGAGCACTCACTTTGAGGGGATGCAGCTCCAGGCCCAAAGCCGGGCATTAGAGCCAGGTAGAAGCTGCCTCCCTGCTCCACCCACTGCACCGAAGAGCAAAAGAAACCACCCAAGGCAAGCTTGGGTCAAGGCCCTGATCCTGCCCTTCCCCAGAAGGGCCTCGGTTTCCCCACCGGTACCACAGGCTACTGTAACCAGCCTGAAGAACTCTATAGACAGGTCTGGGAGCTTCCAGCACACAGGCCAAGGGTTTGGCTGTAGCCCTGAGGCCAGAGTCAGCCCCCGAGGCAGGCACCTCCCCCAAGCTGCCCCTAGTATCTGAGAGCCGGTGAGGAATAAAATACCGAAGGTACTTGTTCAGGACATCTAGTCCCCTGCCCCACCTGCCTTGGGGGCTAGAGGAAGCCAGGTCCCTCAGGGCACCTGTCAGAACTGGAGAAGCTCCCAAGAAAATGTTTGCCAGCTGCCTGATGCTCTGGGGGCCCTCTCAGCCCACTGGTGGGGGCAGTCAGAAGGCAACTCAGGCCGAAACCGGTTTGGCTCAGTGGATAGTGTCGGCCTGTGAACTGAAAGGTGCAGGTTCAATTCCGGTCAAGGGCATGTACCTTGGTTGCGGGCACATCCCCAGGAGGGGGTGTGCAGGAGGCAGCTGGTCGATGTGTCTAACTCTCTCTCTCTCCCTTCCTCTCTGTAAAAAATCAATAAAACATTTTTTTTAATTCAATACATGTAGTCATTCTTTTTTTTTTTAATATATATTTTATTGATTTTGGACAGAGAGTTAGAAATATCGATGAGAGAGTGTCATCGATCAGCTGCCTCTTGCACACCCCCTACTGGGGATATGCCCGCAACCAAGGTACATGCCCTTGACTGGAATCGAACCCAGCTCCCTTCAGTCCCCAAGCCAACGCTCTATCCTAGGGGTGTCGAACTCAATCAGAGAAGGGGCCAAAATCTAAAATCCAGCCTAAATCGCGGGCCGAATGGTTTACTGAACAGTCATAAACTGTCATTGTGATGGAAACGCAGCGGAGTGCAGTGATGACAGCACGGTGTGGGCCACATTGCAAGGCCTGGCGGGACGGATTTGGCCCGCGGGCCTTGTGTTTGACACATGTGCTCTATCCATTCAGCCAAACCGGTTTCGGCAACATTTTTTTTTTTAAAGAAAGCAACTCAACAGGTGACCTTGAGGTTGGGAAGGGCCATAGGCACCTTGGAAGAGGTCCTCCAATTATTGGGAATTAATTTGGTTGGAAGGCAAAATCTCTCCTTTGAGGGTTCACATCAGTAAGCATGCCTCTAGTAAACAAGATTAATTGGGCTGTTTTTCAGAAAAGGGAGCAATCTGGGAATAACTAGAAGGGAAAAAAAAAAAAAAAAGGAAAAAAAAGCCTAGCTGAAGGAATTACACTCTGAGAAGTCAGACCCCCAGACCTGGTTCCTGCCCCCTACTCCAGGGCGAGGGAGGGGCTGGCTGCTCCCTAGCTCCTGGAACACCCAGAGGTGAAGAGCCTGCCTGTGGTCACTTGAGAGATGTCCCTTGGGAAGGCCCCTCACTGGGTCAGGGAGAGAGAAAGACGGGGAGCCCGTGCCCCACAGCTCACCTTCCCCTGGTCACTTGTGTTGGGCTCTGTGCACCCAGCACCACACCCCATAGCATCTGGCCCAGGTGAAGGAGAGAGCGTGTGGCTGCCCTCCTGGATCCAGCACCAGGGTGGCTCCCTTAGCGACCTTGACCCCCTCGGACTCTGGTCCTGTTTCTGGGACAGGCACCTAGCATGGCAGAGATCAGGCCTCTTCCCCCTCTTCTGGGGCCATGGGACACTGGATGGGAGATGGACAGGCCGGGGCATGGGGAAGGTAGGGGAAGGTGGAGGGGGGGGTCGCGGGGAGGCGGGTAGAACACCGCTGATCACTGAACCCTGACAGGTTGACGTACAAACAAGTCAGGTACAGGCCTTTCCCAGTCCTGGCGGGCACCCCCTACCCCTCTAGATCTTTCCTCCGCACAAAAACGCTTCCCCGCTCCGGACCTATTCCCCCTTCTGCTCCTCCCTGCTCCCACCACACCGTCCATTCCAGAAAACACAGGCACCCTTCCCTAGCTGCTGCCCGGAATCAATGACAAGACACTGAGTGGACTCCACTCGGGGAGATGTGAGCCCACTGTCTCTGGAAGCCCAGCCAGCACCCACCCTCCTCTCCCTAGTCTGCAAGGACTGAAGGTAAGTGCGGGACTGCACAGCGGTTCCCCCAGCTTCAAACCTGATAAGATGTCAGCAGGGACTCCTCCAACCCAGGTGGCAGTCACAGCCTGTTGATCTGCCCTCCCACCGTCAGCGGAAGTACTGGGGACACCAGGAGATACAGTCCCTGCCGCACAGGGGATAAGCGGAGACACAGGACTAGTCCTGGTGAAACTAGACCCTCCTTGAATGGCAGAGGCCTTGAGGTGGAGCCAGAAGACTCAGGACATTCAAGGCTGCAGTGGCAGAATAGGTGCAGGGGGGGCCAAGGGCTCAGGGTCAGAGTACCCCACACTTGGGGCTTTTCTGGAAAGTGGAATCTGGCAGACAGTACCCCCGAAGGCCATGCCCACTGGAGGGCCCCCCAGTTCCTTAGAGGGCTGGCCGCCACTCCTTCCCCACAATCCCAGTCTCTCTACTCCTGGACCCCTACTCCTGGACAATGGGCCACTCCAATGGACAGGCCAGGAGCCTGAAGCCTAGGGGTGACTCACACATTCTGAACCGGAGGCGAGGCCCCCATACTGCCCACTGTACCCTGGGAGGGAACAAGGAGGCCACCGGGGATATGCTCCCAGATATACATGGGGGACATCCAAGACATGCCCCTGCTGAGGCTGGCTGCATCTAGAAGAGCAGGTCTGGGGTCCTTCTCCCCATTTGGCAGGGACCACATACCTGCCTCTGGGGCTGGTAACACTGGGAGAGTTGGGACACTGGTTAGAGGCCCAGACCCTGGACAGCCTCAACTAGCACCCCTCAGCTCTAGGGAAATAGTGCAAAGCCAGGGCCTCAAAGCAGCTGGCACCACACTGCCAGCTCCAGAGGAAGGAAAGGAGGGCCCCGGCCAAGCCTGGGACCAACACAAAACCCATCTGTTTCCCCAGAGCCACCCTGGCACCAGCCATTACACTGGCGGCCGGACCACCCTGCTCCCCAAATCTGGATCCGGGTCCAGGCTGCTAAGCCCCAGATCCTAACGACAAGCTATGCTTCAAAATATGCAAACTACATGACAGCATAAAAACTCAAGGAAAGAACCAGACGGGTGGGCCGAAGGGCAGGCAGGCACCCTGGGGGAAAGGCATCCCTTTCTCCTTCCGTGTCCGTCCTCACAGTCCGTGACAGCACGAATCACTTCAGTGAGCCCAATAAAGAAAGCTTCAAAATAGAGTGCTTTTTGGGGAAAACATGGGACACATGGTTCTTTCCAATGGGTGATTCTGGGGTCCCCTCCTCTACTGTGCAGGCTCCCAGGAGCGCCCGCCCCAACAGTGACCTAGCAACTCCAAGCACCTTCACATTCTGAGTGAAGACAGGGGAAGGCACATCCTAGTCGGGGGAGACGGAGGCTGCACTCCCATAGGCAGTCACAGGACGTGGGGCCAAGACGAGGCGGGTGCCAGCTGCATCCCCTAAGAAAGAGAGTCCACACACAGGGGTTACACATGAGCACAGTGGCTTTTATTACTTGACTCTGCAGGCAGGTGCTGGGGAGGGGGACAGGGCTGGCTCCTGAAACAGAGCCCACACCGCTACTGTGAAGGCCTCTTGGGCTACGCTCCCACAGGGTACACCAGCCTCTCCAGACAAGCAACTGTGATATGTGACTGCCAAGTAGGTGGGACAGAACTGGCCTCTAGGACACGGAGGGACTAGTATCACCAGGATGTGCCTGGAGTGAATGGGGTCCAGGGCCCTCCGGACCCCCCCTCCCATCAGCTTCCAGGTCTGCCTCCTCTACCCAGCAGCTCAACACACTGACCCCCTGACCAGTACAAATGTCTGCAAAGGTCTGTGGGATGAATAACTGAATGGAATACCAGCCAAGAGCCACAGGCCCCTCAGTGCCTGTAACATGTCCATTCCTGAGGACACAGGTCTCTGTGGTGATCAGAAGAAAGTCCCTTCAGGACAGACAGTTACCAGCAGCCACACAGCAAAATTAACTGGCTCTGAGTCCCCCCATAGCCCTGTCTTTGGGGCGGAGTGGCTGGACCGTGGTGGCACTCCCAGGGCGTGTGCTAGAAAAGGACAAGTTACAAGTCAGTGCATCAGTGGGGACCCCTGCCAGGACTGTCAGGGACGGTAGTGGTGCTGGGGGATCCTGGTACCTCCAAACCAGAGCATAAGAGCATCCAGGTCCTCCAGTGTGCTGTTTCCTTGCCTAGAATCCTGGATTGCTGCCTGCCTCCCAACCTGCTTCCAATACCAGGTAATACTCCTACTCATCCTTCAAGGCCCAGCTCAGTAACCACATGCACAGGGACACATGCCCGACTTCCCTACAATCCCACGTGCCAAGTGCTCTCCTGGATCCCAGCCCACATCTGTTATGCTGGACACGCCTCCTTTGTTTCCAGAGCGTGGGTTCCCAGATACTGCTGAATTCACACAGACCTGGAGGAGCCCTTTGGGGGGTCCCAGGGCCAGCTCCTGATCTTACAGATGACCTGCACGTGTGGCTCCAGGGCACGGCCAAGCTTGCAAAACGACCAAGTCCCACCCTTCAGCTTCCCATCCTATTCTCCTTCAGCAACCAAAGCAGCAAGCAGGAAAGCACTTCCCCTATGAATGCTTCTCCGCCTTCAATCCTGCCTTCTACCCGAGGCTCTGCTGACAGGCACTCCCCAGAGCTGTCCCCAGGAAACCTAGTGCCCCGAAGCCACAGGACCAATCTCCCCCCCACTGCCTGCAGGGACTCCCGAGGACCTGGCCATCACAGAGGAGGAAGGTGGCCGGGAAACACCTCCGTGAGTCAGTCAGTCTGCCCAGACTGGCCTCTCCGTTCCCACGTTTCATTTCTGTCTGTGTTCCATTCTCTGTCGTAAATCAGACCACACCAGCCAGGCTCCACCTGCTGCTCAAAGAATAACACCCACCACTCAGGTTAAAAAACATCTGATGGAAATTATTTTGTCAAGGGGATTCTGAGGTAGGGTGGGGGTGAAGAAAGACCAAAAAGCAGGAGAAAGGGTTTCTGCAGCAGCTCAGGAGTATCAGACAGAGAGGATGCGGCACTGCTTTTTGTTGAGATCTAGTTTGCAAAAAAGATGACTGAGGCAAATAACACTAAGCCCCTTCCCTGTCTGGCTTTTTGCACAATAGAAAGTGAAGCCAAAATGCCTTCACTTGCCGAAACCAGTTTGGCTCAGTGGATAGAGCATCAGCCTGCGGACTGAAGGGTCCCAGGTTCGATTCTGGTCAAGGGCATGTACCTTGGTTGGAGGCACATCCCCGGTAGGAGGTGTGCAGGAGGCAGCTGATTGATGATTCTCTCATCGATGTTTCCAACTCTCTATCCCTCTCTGTAAAATATCAATAAAATATATATTTTTAAAATGTCTTCACTTGGGTGCCACACCCAAGCCCCTCAACAGCGTGGTCCCCCGAACCCATCCAGGGTTCTTGAGCTCCCATGCCTTTAGCCTCTGGGCCTACGGAGCTAAAGGAGGTGGTGCTTTTCAGGGTCTGCCATCCCCATAGGCCTTGGCCAGCTCCCCCATCACATTCCCAAAATATACAACAGGTCAGTGCTAGGACACTGATCACATTGGTACCACCTGTGTGTGTAGGGAAAGGGGCCATCCTGGGCACTGTGGGGTGATGGGAGCATCCTTGGCCCCCACCCACTCGATGCTAGAAACACCCAGTCATGACAATCACAGATGTGCCCAGACATTGCCCAGTGTCCCCTTGGCGGAGGCGGAGAGGGAAGTGACTCGTTCAGGTACTGCACAGGTAGCATGCACACACTGCATGACACATCCATGTCTCCCCTAGTGCAGCCACCTTCCCTGGCCCCTCCATAGATCCCACCTACTCACCACCCACTTCTGGCAAGCCTGGGCCCAGAGCCCTCTGCTCTCCGGACCACTAAGCAAAGAATCCCAAAATATGCACACCTGGATCAGGCAAGAGGCAGGTCTTTACAGATCCTAGGCCATCTGGAGGGACCACCTCAGGAAATAGAACCCAACTTAATCAGTGTGGCAGGATCACAACTTTGGTAAAAAGACACAATGCCTTTTGTTTTTAAGGCTGGGAGGAAGAAGAGCAAGCTGGCGGGTTTGGGAGGGGGGGATTGGGGCAACATACAAAACACCTGTCTTGATTTTTTTGTACTCTCCAATGTTACTTAAATGAACATTACTCGCCGAAACCGGTTTGGCTCAGTGGATAGAGCGTCGGTCTGCGGAATGAAGGGTCCCAGGTTTGATTCTGGTCAAGGGCATGTACCTTGGTTGTGGGCACATCTCCAGTAGGGGGTATGCAAGAGGCAGCTGGTCAGTGTTTCTAACTCTCTATCCCTCTCTCTTCCTCTCTGTAAAAAATCAATAAAATATATATTTTTTAAAAAACTGATTGAATGGAAGGGCCTGTGTGAGGATGAACCAGTGACACGGGTGGTGTGAGAAGTGAACTCAGAACTGGTGACAAGTACAAAAAGGACTGCTTTGACAGCCCGCAGCACCTTCACTTCTACTCCCATCTTTGCAGAAACATCAGGAACAATAGAAGCACCCACCCTGTGCAGCAGAGAAGGCTCCTCCTCTGGGAGGCCTCCAGCTTCAATCCCAGGCACCTGGTGGCCCCAGCTCCCTGGGGGGCTGGAGCCACACGTGGGCGCACAGCTTCCAGGGAGGAACTCAGAGATAAAAGTGGCCTCGGCAAGAAAAGAAATAACCTATGGCCAGAGGTTATTAATGTCTCTGCTCACATCTCACACCTCCTGACCTACACGAAGCCCTGCCAGATCCCTCGCAGCTCTCACCAAACTCTGCCATGACATTGACAATCGCCATGATATCTAAAGAGAAGCAAGTCCATTAACATTCTCTGCTCACCCCAAAGCAGGTCATTCCTTGGAAGCCTGTGTCTCCCCCTCTCCCCCACCCACCCCTCTCCAGGTCTTGTCAAGTTGGTTTTGACTTATTCCCTGTAGTTTCGTCTGACAACGCGGCTTTACACAGAGTAGGTGCTCTTAATGAGGACGCAGCCGGGGAATCTGTACGGAAATAAACAAGGACTGCCACAACACGAGGTCCAGGGAAGCGGTGGGGCTGGTCCCCCCTCCCCAGGAGCTCAGACGCTCATTAGGGCAGGAATCCAGGGCCCGCCAACCAGTGTCAGCTCGCTCGCTTCCCGAGCCCCCCACCCCCCCGTTATCTCACTCCACCCTCGCGACACCCCTAGGAGGACATGTTCTCCCATTGTTTACATTTTATACTGGGTGTAAACAGAGGCTTACAAAGGTCCCACTACTTGTACCGGGCCCCGAGGAGGGTGGTCCCGGTCCTGGCTGGAGGAACGTTGCCCGCAAGTGTGGGGAGGGGGGCTGGGCTGCAACTGGGGGGCCGGGGGAGCACCTGCGGTGGAGTTCAGGTCCGGGCCCGGAAGCCTGGCCCGCGGCGGACGAGCGGGCGGGCATTACCTGCTGCGGGGGGCGCCGCTCCGCCGCCGCCGGGCGCGCCCGGGCCCCGGGCCCCGCGGTGCCGGAAGTGGCAGTAGGGCCGCCGGCAAGGACCCCCGGGCGCCCCAGACCAAAAGGGACAGTCGATGGCCCGGAAGAAGCCGGTGGAGCGTAGCATGGTCCGTCCCGTGGGGAGGCCCCAGCCCGGAGCCGCCCTCGTCCCCGGGACCCTCACTGGCGTCGCGGTCGCCTCCGCCCGCGCTTCACAGACCCCGACGCCGCCATCTTGCTCCGAGGCCCCCAGAGGCCCTCGGACGCTGCCGTAAAGTTCCGGGGGAAGCGGCTGTCCACAGCGTGCCCGATCAGAAACTCCTGACCTCGCGGAATCGAGGCGGGTCGTAAGCCCCTGGGTCGAGACAAGCAGGCGTGAGAGATGGGGTGGAGGGTGCAGACTGTTCTGCCTGAGGGCTCCGGGAGCCTCGCCGGCGCCGCCACCCGGTCTTCAGTGGCGGCTGTAGCGCCATCTTGAGCCCAAGGTCCCTTCGGCGTCTGAGCTGTCCACGGCGCGCCTGACGAGAAAAGCCCCCCCAAGGCCCGCCTATGGCTCACTTGCGTTTAATTTGCGTCATTAGCATGTCCTTTTAAAGCGCCCTCTGCTGGAAAAAATGAATCCTGCACTTAGCAACCCCAGTGCTTCAGTTACTCCATGCTCACTCACCTCCGCCCTGGTATACAGTTGGTTCGCAGTAGTGCTTAATTTCTCCCACCTGTATTCACGTCAGCAATCTAATCCCCAGGCCCAGAGGAGTCCTGTTTTCACTCATTAATTTTTCCACCAAATACTGAGCACCTGCTCTACGCCAGCTGCTATAGATGCTATGCTGAACCATATTTTGTTTAGCCGTTAATCCGATGATGGACATTTGGGTTGTTTCCACCTTTGTCTATTGGGAAGTGTGCTGCTGTGAACACAGAGGTAGGTATATTTGATTATCATTTTGTTTCAGTACTAGTGTTTTAAACGATGTAAACTTGTTGCCATGTTTAGAACTTGGAGAGATGTCACATAAAAACTGCAATCCCCACCCTCTCTATGAACCGTTGGCTTCCCTGGGCCCACCAGATGGCAATTGCCAAGCAGCCCCTGTGAACAGGGTAGGGAGATCTGTGCAGGTCCCCTCTCTCCCAGCCCACCTCTCCTTACTCCAGCTAACTGGCATTGAGGGCATTTGAGCTTGAGACCCCTTACCCAGGGGTCTCTCACACCTCTCCACCAACAACAGAAGGGTTGATGTAGTCCTGACAATGCTAGTGAGGGGAAGTAAGTGCTCACACTCATCAATGCTCCACTCATCCTCAAGGGCCTTGGCCATTCATTCCACAAACGTTTACCAAGTATCTGCTCCACACCAGCCAGACACAGTGCTAGAAAATCGGTGAACAAAGCAGAGACCCCCTACCCTGATGGAGGAAGACAGACACAGGACATTTAGGAAATAAGTGAGATAGCGTGATTCACGGCAGGAAGTGCTGGATTGGGGGAAGAACAGGGCAGGGCTTGGGAAAGAAGTGATCTGCATAGTCCTATGGGGAAAGTGGGATTTGAGCAGTCCTGAGGAAGGTAGAGTAGCCAAGCAGACATCTAGGGCAAGAGCATTCCAAGTGGAGAGCACAGCACATGCAAAGGCCCTGGGACAGGTCTGTGCCTGGCATGTTGGAGGGAAAGTGTGGAGGAAGCCTGTATGGCTGAAGCACAGTGAGCAAGGAGGAAAGAGAGGAGGTGAGAGCAGAGAGGGAAGGGGGGTGCGATGGGGCAGGACCTTTTGGGCCTCGGGGAGAACTTGGGCTTTCATCCTGAGGAATGAGAGAACCCTGGAGAGCTGTGGACAGAGGAGGGGTGGTGCCTCAGATGTTCACACGTGCTGGCTGCTGTGGGAGAACTGTCAGGATATGGGCAAAGGCAGGACCTGTCTCAGGCGCTCACTTGCGCCCTCTGGTGGAGACCATGAGGAAGGGCTGGTGTAGCTAAGCAGCTCCAGGTGGACCATGATGGAGGTCAGGGGGTGCCGTTGGCACACAGGGGAACCTGAGCAGGGCGGGGCAGTGGCTGCGTGCCAATGGAGGGTCCAGAAGGCAGGAGGGGACGTCTAGCTGTCTCCAGCGCATGTGGGAGTGTGCACGGGAGACTGAGGAAGGGCTTGTGCCCACGGAGCCTTTCGAGGAACTCTGCCACAAAGCGACAGGGAAGCCTGCCAGAGGGGACAGGGGTCCAGGGAGTGATGTCGGAGGTCTTTCTGCACAGAATCCGATGGAAGGAGAACACGGGTGGAACAAGATGGAGGGGGTGCAAGGAGGAGGCTATCCTCGAATCAAGGTGAGAGCCGATGCTCAGAACAGGAGCGACTCTGGCAGCCACAAGGACAAGACCCCAAGGAAAGCTGGGTGGGAGCCCAGTGCCATGGAGCCCTCCCCCCACCTACACCCCCGAAGGGTCTGCACCCACAGCCCTCCCTCAGGACTCTGGAGACTGCCTGAATCTGGGGTGCCTTTTTCCGAGGAGGGGGTTCAAAGTTCACACCAGCTTCTCAATGCTCCAAGGCATGGTAGTCTCCCTCCCTATGCCCCCCATCCCCACCTTCCTCCCAATGGGGAGCATACAGTAAGCACACAATGTAGGAGCTGCCGGGTGCCACAGGAGCCCTGAGAGCGGGGCTCTCCCGGCCCCGCCCCCGTGCTGTCAGGGCGCCTCGGTAGCCGGGTAACGGGGCGGGAGGTGGGCGACGGTGGCAGCTGCACAAGGCGTGGGAGACGCTAGGCGGCAGCGTGTCCTGCAGCAGGCAGCCTCCTGCCTCCCGGAGACTAAGGCTGCGGGTGTTATTTCGTGTCGCAGCCACCGTGGGCTGGCCAAGACCCCCACAGATTCTCTGTATTCACTAGCCCTCTGTCTGTTTCCCCAAAAGGTTGGTGACCTTGAGGCCACACTGGTGAGTGAGGCAGAGCCCACCTGCTGGGGGCAGCAGTGGGAAAAACCACACTGGCTCTGAGCTGGGTTTAAAAAAGGTCTTGTTTAATTAAATACAAGGATAAGGTCAGACAGGGCAAGGGAGAGGGGTGCCACCAGAGAAAGCACAAGTCCCTAGGGATGCTACCCCCACCCCCATCCCCCCTTGAAAGGCCACAGCTACCACTGGCCCCTTGGAGGAGGGGGCATGGGTCTCTCCAGGCCCCTCAACAGGGGCCGGACAACAGAGTTCTCAGCTTCCTGGGCCCTGGGCCCCGGAGCCCACCATGGACAGGAACCGGCCGGGCCTAGGACATCTAGGGAACATCCACAGGGACACAAAGGTGAATGGGACACACCCCTCTGCCCTCAAGGACAAGGGCATTCCCCTCTGGGAGAGCAGGACTGAGGGCAGATGGGCCTGCCCGTAGGCTGAACCTGCAGACAGACCCTCCGCAGCCCAGCTCCAAGAGGACCTGCCGCACCCACCCCTGGATCCTGCCAGGCTGAGGGTCCACTCCACAACGGTGTCATCCAACCGCCCGCCCGCCCGCCCGCCCCGCGCCAGTCAGGACACAGGAAGGCTCTGGAATAAATGCAGATGCCCCAAACCTCCCGCAGCCAATAGGGGGGAGGGGGTGGCAGACAAGCCCTTTTAGGGTCTGGGAGCAGGGAGCCTGGGTCCCTTCCCACTCCAGAGCAGGGGGGCTGGGTCCTCAGTCCCTTGGCCCAAAATGAAACCTAACCAGCTTCACCAGAGGACACGGCATCCACCCCTCCACCCCAAGTTAGGTCACAAAGACCCCCCACCTCCTTCTCCTGAGGACAGACCACCCTCCGTGGCCTGATCAAAAGAGACTGGCGCCTGAAAAAACATTCTACCCGGTCCACACACACACACACAACCCAGCTACTCCTAGGGAGCTAGGGGGCTTGGGGCCAGTGCTCCTGCCTCCCATCCTTGTGGGCGGCAGCTCAGGCCCGGCACCCAGGGGGACATGCAGCGAGGGGCAGGCTGGAGCCAGGGCTCCCACCGCCACCTGCAGGGTGGGGAGGGGTGCATTGAGCCCAGTGGCCGTCTGGTCCCCGAGGGAGGGATTGATTGTCACGTGATGCTGTGGAAGGCCAAAGTCGGGAGCAGGGAGCAGCTGCGGCACCAGCTTCTCACGTACACGAACACACCGCACCCACCCGGGGGGCAGGACGGCACCCCAGCCAGCAGAGGCAAGAAAATAAATAAGCCAGCATTCACTCCATCCCCACGTCCACATCCCCCAAAGTGAGGCAGATGCTCTTTGGAAGAACCCTGTTCCTCTCCCTCCCTCCCCTACATCTCAGAAGCAAAACCCAGACCCTTCCGTTACCCACCCCTCCCCCTGCCCCCCCGCCCCCCATGGGCAGTGGGGCAGAACCTGTTAACACCTGAGATCGAATACCCGAGTGGGGGACGGCTGGGCCGCACCCCTTTTCCCTGAACATCTCCAATGGCTTTCCATGGGGTGAGGAGCCCCGGGCGGGCGGGCGGGGGCATGTGTGCCCTCAGACACCCCTGGATCCTCTATGGCTCTTCACTCACTTCTTCCCAATCTGGAGAGGGGCCTGGGGCTGATTCCAAGCACTGGGCAGGGGGTACCTTTCCTGGCCCCCCTCCACACACATATCCCCCCCCAAGCAGGGAAGTGGCAAAGGGGAGAGGGGAGCACCTGCCAGCCGCCCACGGGGGGTCCCAGTTGAGCAGACGGGAAGAATCATAGGTCGTGGCTATTTACAAACACGGGCCCCAGCCACCCGGGGTGGGGGGCGTGTCCCAAAGGTCCAGCTGACCCCAGTCTCGTCTCGGGCCCCCTCCTCGCCTTCTCGAGGGGACCAGAGGCGTCGGGGCCCTCGGGGGGGACGCTGGAAGGGTGCCTGGACCGCAGGCATGTTGCTGGTGCTCTGGGCGGGGCGAGATCCAGGCGGGCCGGGTGGGCCCTACAGGCCGGCGGGGGCCGGGCTGGGGGCCGGGCTGGGCGCGGGGCTGCCCGCCAGGCTGCAGGGCAGGGAGTCGCTGGGAGAGGTGCTGCGGGCGCCGGGGCGGCGGAGCAGTTCTGGGCGGAAGCCGGGGTGGCGGCGGGCGTGCTTGGTGAGGTGGTCGCTGCGGGTGAAGCGCTTGGAGCAGAGCGGGCAGGGGAAGCGCTTCTCGCCGGTGTGCGTCCGGTGGTGGCGGGCCAGCTCGTCCGAGCGCGCGAACTTCTTGTCGCAGCCCGGCCAGTCGCAGGCGAAGGGGCGCTCACCTGGGTGGACAGGCAGAGGTAGAGAGACAGCGGTCAGTGCACTGGGGTGGGGGGGGGGGTGCGGCGACACACACGCGCCCCGGTCATTTGTCTCTTCCCCGCCCCCTCGTTCTAGAGGCTGGATTCTGGGTGTGAATGTGAGCCGTGAAAATGCAAAAAACAAAGGACCCCGCTCAGTTCACAAACCCCTAATGGATACCCTCGTCCCTGATTTCCTGGGAGCTTGCAGTAACTCTCCATCAGCTAAAAGTAAGACCCACAGGGACTGGCTCCTGCCAGCCCCATCATGGCGGTGAGGTGTGTGTCTGCCACACAAGTGCAGGCTCAGGCGCACGCTGGGTTTTCGGAGGGGCTTCTCTTCGTGCAGACTGGCCTCCCCATCCCCACCCTCACCCTCCTCGGTTTGGGGATTCAAGGTGTGAGCGCCCACAGTTCACTTCCCTCCTTTGGGAAAGGACCACCCAGGTGCAAAGTGGTAACATCATCCAGGCACTCACTCACCCCTCGCTGACCTCCGTGGCCCCTGTGTGTGCAGACGGACATGTGGAGGGCCATCCTCGGTCAGCTGCACCCCTGCCTCCTTAGGTCCCCACTGCAGGTCCCTCCTCCAGGAAGGGATGGGTGGCAGGGGCATAGGCAGGTCCCCACCCTGCAACTTCCTCTGAAGACCACACCCACTGCCCAAGCAGACCTCACCCATCCTGCCCACCCCCTACCCAAGCCCCACCCCATACAACCCCGTCTGGGGGTCTTCGCTGCCCCACAACCATGCCGCACCCCACCCCCAGAGTCTCAAAGTCTCAACTGCCATCATCTCCCCAGCCGGAGGGGGAGACAGGGGCCAGCCTGGACCTCCACCACACCCAAGGCCAAAGGGCCGGGCATCTGGCCCCCGAGATGCCCCTGGGCACTGCTCGCCTGGTGCCCAGAAGTTCTGGAGTGTGTGTGGGCTTGTGTACACAGAATGCGGATATGTGGGGGCTGGGGGTGGGGGACAGGCACAGCCTGGTCAGGTGTTGCCTCCCGAGTTACACACTAAAAGGCTTCCTCTGGACACTCCGGTGACCGGGGCTGACCCTTTTTCTAGGAACACGCCCACCGGTGGGGGGCAGGTGGTGGGGAGACAGACAGGAGAGGGTCCTCAGCCAGGGTCAGGTAAGACCCCCAAAGCAGGGCCCCATGGTGAGGGACAGAGAAGCCGGAGATGACCAGGAGACAGCAGGAGGGGCCACAGGACAGACCTGCAGCATTTTCAGGGTAACCTGCCCGGGGGAAAGAGCGTGGTGGGGACACCAGGGGACCCCCAGGGGCTCAGCCATCACCGGACCTAGGAAACAGCGGTATGAAGCCTTCCCTCCCCCTCCCTTCCTCCAGGCTACACATGGACACCCCAGCATGACAGGAGAGGGGGGTCAGAAGCCTCACAGGCCCCCCAGCAGGGTTCTTGTGGGGTACATGTGGGTCCTGCTCACAGCTGGAGGAGGGCAGTCCCCAGGATGTGAACCCAGGTGTCTGGGAAGGGGCTGAGGGGAGAGCGAGACTGTCCCCAAGACCGCAGGCAGTGAGAATCCCCGGGGCTGCCCCGCACACCCCCCGCCTCCCCAGGCGGCCCGCAGCGGGGGAGGAGCCCAGCAGGGGCGCCCTCTGCAGAATCAGGGGCTCAAGAGTCGGGAAAGGATCCCAACCTCACCTCCATGGCGGCGACCCTCAGAGGGCGGGCTGCCGGCTCTGGCTGGGCCTGGGCGCCCCTCTGAGGGACACACAGTCGTGTAGCCATCTTGCAGGGCACGGGCGGGAGAGCAGAGGGGCGGAGTCCTCCCAGGGCTTCTGTAGCCCGCAGGAGGCTCACTTCCCCATTGAGGGCCCTGGGGCTGGTCCCCACCTTCACCCCTCCACCCGGCAGCTCCACCTTCAGAGCCGGGTGCATGGGTGGCCGTCCTGCCAGCCAGGACAGGTCGAACGCGGCGGAAGCCGCTCGGAGCACGGCTGCCGCACACGGCTCCCTGGCGTGGGGACATCCCCGGCCCCAGCCCTCACTGCTCATGTGGCCCGCCCCCACCATGTTGGGCAGATGCCTGCAAAGATGCCAGGCCCTGCCACCCTCTCACAGTCCGGGAAAGGGGGGACAGTTAGAGACTCGGGGCCAGTGAGAGACCCAGATATGGCCAGCTGGCTGCCCCAGGCATCCTGGCTTGAGCGGGTGCTAGAGAACATGCCAAGCCGTGGGTGAGGCCAGGGCGGGCTTAACCCTGTGATGGGCTGGGCCACGGTGAACTAGGGACAGCCAGGAACCAACACCAGGCATCGGAATGGTCTCCCCTCACCCTGCAGGTGCCCGGCCCCACCCCCACCCGCCCCCTTTCCTGGCTTTTAAACCTTTGTGCTCAGCATCTCCTGGGGGTGATACTGCTCCCCGCCCCGGACCTGGTATGCCCAGGACATCTCTGGAAAGAGTCCGCAGACCCACAGACTCAAGCTCAGCCTTCTGGCTCGAGTCAGGCAGCAGCTAGCACATTTGCCCACCATCTCTCCCATGTACCCACCACCTCAGTGTGCAGCTATGACTACTCCCACTTATTTAAAATGATGGTCATTTGCAGTCCCTCCCTGTCCCTCTCCTCCCTCCTGGAGGACCCAGGCTGCCCCAGCTCACTTCCTAACCAGACTGGCACCTTTGGCATAAAGTGGGGCTCTTGGGGCTGGAGGTGAGGAGGCACAGCTCCCACAGCCCCCACCCCCACCCCCAAAGTGAGTGTGTGTGTGTGTGTGTGTGTGTGTGTGTCAATAGGCAAAGGCGATCCACCCAGCCCCCTCCCTCCCTGGGAGGCCAGCTCTCACTCCCGTATCATTTGCCCAATGCCTGGCCATCTGGGCCAGCTTTATCAGGGAGCCTGGGTGGTGGGTGGTTATCACCCCCTGCAATGTTGGGGGCCCTCCCCCACCCCCCAGCTGGGGCACAGGCATCTGAAGCCAGTTCCAGCTGCTCTCTGCACCCCTGCCCACTGGAGAAGGAGAGGAGGTGGGGAGGCAGCTCCCAGGGAACCATGCCCTGCTCAGGCCTAGCAATGGCCCCGGCCTAACCCCAGATAAGCCACCAGTCTGCTGAGCCCCACCTGGCCTTAAGAGAGCTCCAGCTCTGTCAGGGGAGCATGCTACTACCCCTCCAGGCCTCAGTTTCCCCATCTGCCTCTCCTCCTGGGGGCCTCTTCGGCAAACTATAATTATCACCACCACCCCGCCACCTTGGGCTGTGGGATCGGAAGACTGGGGGGTCACTCTAGCCCCTGTCCCCCACATCCTGAGGCTTCCCCCTCCTCCCCAATTCATAAATCAGCCCTCCCTCCCCAGCCATATAGTGGCCTGGCTCCTCCACCCCTAATCGCTTCTGCATAAGCGGATTTCCCTCTGCAAAACCCAGCTCTCTCCTCCCGACCCCACCCCAGTGTCCCCCACCCTGCCCTTCGGATTAAATGAAGCCCTGAGGCTGCTCTTCCCCCTCCTCACCTCACAGGACGTCTCCTCAAAGCCACACCCAGTGCCCCTGCCCCTCTGGCAATCAGGGTGCTGTCCCCTCTCCCGGGACACACCCCTCCCTGCCCCACCTGATCCCCGGGTTCCGGTTTCTACGGAGAAGCCTCTGGTTCCAAGGAAGCCTTTTCTTCCATCAACCCCCGCGGTCCTGGGTCCCAGGGGACAGGACTGGGGGGGGATGGGGGGCAGTCCCTTGCTCAGAGTAGGTGCTCAGCTACTATTTATCAGACTAAGGTCGACAGGGTTTTACAGTCAAGGGGGAGGAGGGGTCTCAACTGGAGGTGATCCTGAACCCCCACTCCATGGGACACTGGGCAATATCTCCATTGTCATGACGGGGGAGAGCTCCTGGCACCCGTGGGGGGAGGCCCAGGGGAGCTGAGCCCCCTGGAGGCACACATGGCTGCCTGCCTGCTGGGCACTGGGGGCGCAGACAGGGGAGCCCTCTGGAGATGGGGGAGGCTGGGAGAGCAGAGACAGCCAGCCTCTCCTCCCGCCCCCGCCCCATCTCCCTGCTCGCACTCTTGTATCCACAGCAACCGCAGTCAACATTTCCCTCAGCTTCCAAAGTCCTTGCCCGCCCCACGCACGAGAGCTCTGTGCTGGGCCGGGGGCTGCAGGCAGGGCACAGGGCAGCCCGCTCCGCCCCCTGTGAGCGGATCCCGGGGCCCCTCTGGCCTCTGCACCGCCCCCATGCACCAAATGAAGCAGGATGATGGGGGCACCACACTCCCTCCATGCCTGTCTGCTCATCTGTACAGTACGGCTAGATCGGGATTGGCATTGCCGTTACAGGGAGAAGGTGGGTAGGGGCAGGAGTCTCTCCTAAGGGCCATTGGGAGGTCGGCTCAGCAGACACCTAGCTCTAATTACTCTGTTCCTAGCCTAGGGACACCAGGATGAGCATGGATTCCCCACCCCCAAGCAAGCTCCCAGCAGCTGCCTGTCCAATGAGGGTCAGGAAAGCCAAAAGGCCTTCACACAGACTCCAGCGGGGCTTGGTGGTCCTGGGAGTCAAGGAGACACTGAACATGCAACCATTAAGCACACAAGTGTCCCAAACCCTTGAGAAACGGGACCAAGGGGCACCTGTCAAATGGGCCCAGGAGCTGCGCCCCACTAGATCCTTGCACCATTGTTAAAACACAGCTCCGAGATGGGACGTGAGGGCCACAGCTCCCACAGGCGCAGGCCCAGCACGGACAGCACTCCGTCCTCCCCACCATCTGCCCTCACCCTTGCAACACCCCGACTCAGCCTCTCTGGCCTCGTGTCTCATTAAAAACAGGGATGGCAATACTAAAGTACTGGCCCCAGCAAGGAGCCCTCCCCCCCCACGGACTCAGGGAGACGGTCACCACTCCTGGGGACCTAGAGGAGCTCAAGGATCCCAAGACACCCTGGAGAAGCGGCCCATCACTCCACCCAGAAAGGCTGACAGAATCCAGGGGCCAAACCAAACCAAGTCAGGGCACTGGGGGTCTCCAAAAGGTTCTCAGAGAACAAACACCTCGGGCCGGAGATGGGACAGGTGGAAGGGCACTGGGATCGCTGTCCCCTCTGTCACACCTCCCACTGCAGCCGCCCCACCCCTCGAGGTTGAGCCACTGAACTCACTTCAAAGAGGCACTTCTCCATCTTCACGGACCCCCTAAATGTCCCTCCCACAAGCATGAGGATACCACAATCTTTAAAAGCAAATGATATCCAGTGAGTACACAGAGAAAGATGGTCGCTCCTTTTAAGAGAATTTAGACCCCACCCAAGTCCTGTCCTGGCTGTGCTCACCCCTGAGAAGAAGGGACGGGAACAGAAGGAGAGGTGGGGAGAGTGCGGGATGGGGAGGGGGCTGCCAGCAGGCATGTGGCATTTGCGATCTGGCCACTGGCCTGAGGCTGCCTGCTGTGTGTCCGCCACAATACTGGGAACCTGTCCACTGAGCCAAGACCCGCCATCCCTGATCCCCAGCCCAAACTCACAGCTTGGTGGGCATTCTATGAGGTGGAAGAGGGGATCACAGCAAGATAAGGGGACACGGTGACAAAATAAAAGGGTGAGCAGCACCCCTTGACTCCAGGCTCCCCTAGATGCCCCACCACCCACTGGGCTGAGAGAGGTGACTGTGTCCCAAAAACCTACTGCACAACCCTGTGCACCTTCCGGGTTCTGCAGCAAGTGGGGGGGGGGGGGGCAACAACACGCAAGAAACAGGAAGAGGATTGATTCTTTCGGGGAGCCCTCCTCTCCAATCTCTCTCCTCCCCAGACTAAGGTCCCACCCCTCACTCCCAGCCCCCCTCTCCGTCTAATTAAAACACCCCCCTCCCCATCCTGGCCCCGTGCCAGGAGCGGCGCCTCCCTCAGAGCAGAACCCACAACGCTCTCCCGCAGACCGCGCCGCCACTCCTCCTCCCTCCCTACAGCCAGGGAAACTGAGGCAGGGGAAGGGGAAGGGGAAGGAAAACCTCAGAGCTGGGTGCTCCAACCGCAATGTACAGCACCCAGATCCAACGCAACAGAAAGTAAAAAAGAAGCCACCGGGAAAGGGGGCTGCCCGGGAGCCCCGCTCCCACTCCATGACCGCGCGGCGCCGCGCTCCCAGCGAGCCCCGGCCGCCGCCGCGCCCGCCATCCGCGCGCCGCCCGACCGCGTGGCCGCCACGCCCCCTGCGCGCGCCCCACCTACCGGGGCCCCGCCCTCCCGGCAGGCGCGGCGGCCGCCCGGGCGCGCCCCCCACCCCGCCCCCGACCCGCCACGCAGTTTCGGGGTCCCGGCGGGGGAGGGGGCCCAGGAGGCCGGCCCGGCGGGCCGGACTCACCCGTGTGCGTCCGCAGGTGCGACTTGAGGTGCGAGGACTTGTAGTAGGCTTTGGCGCAGCCCGGGAAGGGGCAGCGGTGGCTCTTGGCGGCGGCGGGCGCGGCGCCGGGGGCGCGGCCGGAGGACGGAGACGAAGCGGCCGAGGAGGAGGAGGCGGGCGAGGCGCCCCCCGGGGCCGCGGCGGACCCGCCTCGCAGGTCGGCCAGGATACTGGCGGCCAGCAGGTGGGGCGCGGCGGCGGCTCCGGGGCCCGAGCCCGGGGCAGCCCGGGAGGGCGGCGTTGGCGGCCCCGGGGGCCCGGGCGGGGCGGCCTCGCGGCGTGGCGCGCGCACATCCAGGCCGGCGGCGGGGCCCGCGCCCTCGGGGCCCGGCCGCCCGCGGTGCACCACGGCGCCCGAAGAGATGGCCATGAGCACGTCGGCTGCGAAGTAATCCACGCACGCTACCGCCGCCGACATGCCGGGAAAGGGCGCGCGGCGCGGACCGAGCGGAGGTGGCGGGAGCGGCGCCCGTCCGGCCGGCGGCGGCTGCTCGAGTGCGGGAGGAGGAGGCCGGTGCGCGCCGCCGCCGCCGCCCGCGCTCGACCCGCCCCGCCCCGCCTGACGCGCCCTGACGCACCGGAGCCCGCGGGGGCGGCCACGTCCCGCCCCGCCCGGAGGACGCCCCCTCGGGGCGCCGCGGCCACGCCCCCAGCCCGGCGCGCCCTCCAGCCAGCCGCACGCTGCCGCCCGGGGCGGGGTCCGAGCGGACGGAGCCGCCTCTCTGGCGCGCCCCCTCCGGCCCGAGAGCGCGCCCCGGCCTTCGACCCTGTGCTCTCCTTCCCACGCGTGGTTCCAGGCCTGGAGCCCGACCCTCCTGGTGCGCCCCTTCTGCTGCCGCAAGTCCTCCAGGCACGTCCCCGAGAGCCCCCTCCACCAGGGCGCCACGCCCCTCCTCCCCGGACCGGACCGCCCCGCCCCCGCCGGCGCACCCCTCCTCCGCGCGCTCCCCGCCCCTCGCGGGCGCGCCCATCCCACGGCGCGGCGCGCGGCAAGCCGGAGACCGCCCCTTCCCCAGCGCTGCCCCCGGGCCCCAGCGCGCCCCCGTTCGAGAGGGGGGAGGGCTCCACACCCCACGTGGCTTGGTGGGGGTACGGAGGCGGCCAGCCCCGCCTTCTGGCCACGTGCGCGACCCTTCCCCCCACACACACCGGGCCTAGTGCCCTGCTTGACTGCGCGCATGTGTCCCCTCGCCGCCTTTGGTGGTAGTCCCCATGCTGCACCCGGAGGCTCCCGGGGCCGCCCTGGCCTAGGCGCCGGAGGAGTGGGCCGCCCCACCCCCCGGGGCGAACGAACCCGTGTTCGTTCCTCTTTTTGCGCCCCATTCGGGAGTCCCTCTGCTCGCCTCTTTAGGACCGAGGGTTGGTGTGCGTTCCGGAAAGGGGTTGGGAAAAGGAACCTACTGGAATCGCCAAAGGCTGGGCTCGGGGCGCCTTGGCGAGGCATAGCGCCCGGCCCTGCCGAGACACGCGGGGCTCGGACACCGCTCCCCGGAGCTGGGCAGGGATCCTTATAGCTTGAACGACGAAAGTGTGGTCTAAGCCCCGGAGGATGTCCAGACCAAGTTTAATAGCTGGGGACGCAAATGGCCGGGGCTCGCAGCCCCAAAGTGGTGGGTGCAGGCCAGTGGGCGACCACGCCCCCGCCCCTTCCTCTGCCAGCGGTGGTGGCGTTGCAGTGGCCTGAGCGGCCTCCAGGGGGCCTGCACGGCCTCCCCGCCCAGATGCTAGCTTGGCGACCTGCATGTGCACAGGGGCCGTGAACCTGGCCCCATCCGGGAACTCGATCCTTACCCTCTCCACTCGCAACTCCTAACTGGCCTGATACCGCTGAGCTCCTCTACCCCCAGGCTAGCCACTGTCCCCTGGGGTTCCGCCCCTTGGTACTAACTTGTGGCGGCCCAGAGGGAAAAGGGAGAAATGGAGCGTTGACTTCAGGATGCAGAGACGAAATGCAGCCCAGTGGGCTCCCTGTGACAGACAAGCCCAGGCGCTCCGAGGCCACTCTGGGCAGCCATTATCCAGGTGGCATTCATTGGGCGCTGGCGGTCAGCATTCCTGCCAACCTGTGCCCCCTGTACCTTTGAAGATCTAGGTGGGTAGGCCCCCAAACTCCCATCTCTATAGTCCCACCCACAGGTGCTGCTAGGTCCCCACAACCCACTTTCTCCAAGTCCAGAAGAGGCAGGCAACCCTTTGCAGGGTCTGCCCACCAGGCAACACAGGAAAATAGCAGAGTGAGAAAAAGGCTGACCTCCAGGGCCTCAGTCAAGGGCAAGGCAACTGGAAGTTGACAGTGGCATGGGTGAGCAGGCACAGGCCCGGCAAGTGGAGGAAGTAGGGATAGTGTCCCAGAGGCAGATCCATCTGGGGCCTGAAGTGTGAGAACCTCAGGCTGGTGTGGCAGGAATGCAGGGCAGTGGCTGAAGAGGTACCCTCTTCCTACAGAGGGAAGGAGGTAAGCTGTGGCAAGGCAGGGTCAGGACTGCCATACAGGCTGTGCCCAGCAGGCTCAGTGGTCCGGACAAGTCATTCTCTCAGGGCCTCAGATGTGCACCACTCCCAGGGATAATGAAGGTCTAGGGCCTCCATCTATGGGCCACGACAGCTACTCTGCAGGCAGAAAACCCCTGCTCTACCTGTGGAATTTGTTTGCACCCAGGCCACCAGCAGATATATAACCCTCAATATATATGCTCTTCCCAAAAACCCACAGCCCCAGTATACTCATGAGAAAACAGAAGGCCAAATTAGGAGACATTTCATAAAACGCTCCCCAAATTGTCATGGTCATGAAAAAAAAAGAAAGACTCGAAGTGCCCTAGACCAGGTGTCGGCAACCTACGGCTCCAGAGCCACATGCGGCTCTTTTGAAGCTTTACCGCGGCTCTGACAACTTGCAAGCCTGTGTGAAAATGAAGGTAACGTCTTACAGCCCTGATGTGCTGACACTGTGCACTGAGGTTCAGGAGCAAAAATCCCATTAACCAGGTAATTAAATATTTTAATTAGCTATTAAGTTGCAAAAATATATTTTACATTGTTAAGTGAAAAAGTCCTTTTTTTCTTCAGATTGACAGCTAACTGCACGATCCGGTATATAGCATTAAGGTAAGAAACAATATATGCAGTGTTATATCAGTGTTATATATATTTGTTTTAAATGTCGCAATGGTTTTGCGGCTCCCAGGTTTATTTCTTCCTTCGGAAACGGGTCCAAGTGGCTCTTTATGTCTTAAAAGTTGCAGACCCCTACCCTAGACTATAAGAGACTAAGGAGATGTGATGACTAAATATGATGTGGGGATCTGGGTTGGATCTTGGGACAGATAAGGATATCAGTGGAAAATATGATGAGACCGGCATGTAGTTTGGAATGCACCAAGTCCATTTATTGGCTTTAACACAACGTTAACATGAAGGGCATTGGGTGAAATGTAGATACCACCTTTGCAATTTTTCTGAAAAAACCCCAAATGATTCCAAGATAAAAACTTTAAAACAAACATGGAAAGGGAACATGGGAGTAATTTAATAATAATGACCACATGGATAGTAGCAGCTTACATCAGAGGAACTATACATGGTATCATTGCTCTGTACACAGCTTACCGAAATGGCCAATTTTGTGCCATTTGACCCACCAATTCCACTCCAAAAAAAGTACCAAAAATATTAATAAAGAAGCAAGTATGGCCTGGCCAGCATGGCTCAAGGAAGGCATGGCTCAAGGAAGTCATGGCTTAATTACCAGTCAGGGCACATGTCCAGGTTGCAGGCTCAATCTCCAGTGTGGGGCATGCAGGAAGCAACCAATTAATGATTCTCTCTCCTCAATGATGTTTCTCTCCTTCTCTGAAATCAATAAAAATACATATATTTTTAAAAAAGAAGCAAGTATGTATAGCTAAACTATTTGTAATTGGAAAAAAGAAACCACCTCAACACTGGTTATTAAATTACGGAGTAAGTTTCTTGGGAGAAGCAGGACACAGGGTCAGGAAGGAGGAGCCAGCTTCAATCCCGAGGAGGCCCGTTCATGCTGTGACCTCTGTAGCCTGCCCACAGTGGTCACCTGTAGAGGGACCTGCAGGGACATGGGAGGAGCAGATGGGATATGGAGATTTAGGAGTCAGTGGACCAGCTCCTCGGAGGGGCATGTCAGATAGCACGCGCCCTATTCAGCCACCTGTGTGGTGTTGGGTGTTGGCAGATAGGACCCTAACCACTCAGTGTTTGTCCTGTTCACTACTCTGGTACAAATACTGGCCTACCCCTGGCCCGTAAGGCTTAGTCGGTTGAGCACCATCCTGTACACTGAAAGGTCACAAGTTCCATTCCTGATCAGGGCACATACCCAGGCTATGGGTTCGATTCCCAGTCAGCGTGCTGCAGGAGGCAGCCGATCATTCTTTCTCTCTCTTCCCTCCCTCTCTAAAAGTCAATAAAAATATATCAATCCCAGCTGGTTTGGCTCAGTGAATAGATCGTTGGCCTGTGGACTAAAGGGTCCTGGGTTCAATTCTGGTCTAGGACACATGCCCAGGTTGTGGGCTCAACCCCCAGAAGGGGGTGTGCAGGAGGCAGCCGATCAGTGATTCTCTCTTATCACTGATATTTCTATCTCTCCCTTCCTTTCTGAAAACAATCAAAATATATTTGAAAAATATATATATCAAAAAGCCCTGGCCAGCCAAAACCAGTTTGGCTCAGTGGACAGAGTGTCGGCCTGCGGACTGAAAGGTCCCGGGTTCGATTCCGGTCAAGGGCATGTACCTTGGTTGCGGGCACAACCCCAGTGGGGGGTGTGCAGGAGGCAGCTGACCAATGATTCTCTCTCATTGATGTTTCTAGCTCTCTATCCCTCTCCCTTCCTCTCTATAAAAAAATAAAATATATTAAAAAAATAAAATAAAAAAGCCCTGGCCAGTGTTGTTAAGTGGGTAGAGTGTCGACCCGCACACAGAAGGGTCATAGGTTCGATTCCCAGTCTAGGGCACACACCAGGATTGCAGGCTAGATCCCTGACCCAGTCAGGGTGCATGTGGAGACAAACAATCGATGTTTTTCTCTCTTTCCCCCTTTTTCCCTTTCACTCTCTCTAAAACATCAATGGAAAAAATATCCTCAGGTAAGGATTAATAAAACAAAACAAAAAAATTGGTTTATTTAGATGTTACCCAGCTGGTCTTCTCTTTAATCCAATTCTGATTTCAAAGAGTCACCAGAGTTAATACATATCTGCCACCCCCTAGTCAAGCCAATGTTGTAGCAGTATGTCAGCCTTCTGTGACAGAGCATTTTAGAGATTAATGCACACTTCCCACTCTCTTAAGACATTCATGTTTATTTCCAACATGTGTGATGCTACTTACCATGGTCCAGGGATCCCTCACAGCCAAGAGTTCAGGGTAGGACAATGGATGTAACTAGAATGAAGCAAGCCCCAGCCAGGCCTAGCCAGATAGTGGGCATACTGACCTACTACTGGCATGCCACACAATGCACTAGACCCCTGCTCAGAGCACTGGAGACAGACCCAGGGGCCCCATTCCTTCTCCAGGAAGTGGGAGGGACAGAATCTGGCTCTAACCTGGTGTTCACTTACTTCCTTTCACATGGGGACTCCCTCCCCAGAACTCTTGCTCATCCTCACTCCTTGGCTGGCCCAAGATCCCTAAAAGTAGGGGCTCAGAGAGGCACAACGCACGCTTCATTTGTCTGGCTCTCAAGGACACGCAGGGCCTGGCCTCCGGGCCACCTCTCACAGGCCCATGTTCCTTGAGTCCCCACCTTATCTGCTGAAGGAGAAGAGCTATCTTCAGGATGCCCTCCTCCTCCGA